GCTAAGCGTGCACGAGCAGTGCGAAGAGCAAGGTGACGACACAGAGAAAGGCGGGGCGGGCCACGGATTGTGGCGTGGTGTGGCACACCGTACTGAGCGCGGCTTCGATCATGTCCTTGGGCTTGGACCCGTCCGGCAAAACGCACTGGGGCAGCTGCTTGTACGTGGCTTTGATAAACGATGTGCAAGCGGGCAGCGCGCACACGCGGTCGGCCTGCGTGGAGGGCAAAATCGCTGTCAGCGTCGTCGCGTTGCCGCCAAGCGCTTCGAGGCACGCACTCGGCACGGGCTTTTGGCCCATGAGGAACGAGATGAGCGTGCGATCGACGGACGAGCAAGCACTTCCGTCGTTCGTCGTCAACGACGCCGGGAGCGTGCCGCAGATGATTTGCGATGTACGCTCGGTCGCGTCGTGCAAGTTGAGCCCATCCGAGGTCACGCAGTTGGGCATGTTCTTGTACACATCGTCAATGTTGGCGACGCATGTCGGCGCTGCACAGAGCTGCGTGAGCTGGCTCGAAGTCTTGAACTGGACGAGCTCCGAGAGCGTGCTCACCGGTAAGCGCAGCGCGTCCGTGCAGTTGGCCCATGCCGGCTGCATGGCCACGCCAAGCACTGCAAACATGTCTTGCGTCGAGCACGGCGCGGCGACCACGAGGCTGGGCAGCACAAGCACAAGGAGGCGGTGTGCCATCGTCGACGCCTTTTCCAATGTGGCGCCAGGTTGCTCGAAATAGAAAGGGATAGTCCCTCAAAACAACGCAGAGATGTATCGTCCACGAGCTACGAATTACGGATACGCGAGGCCTAATTCCTGGTCATCCGCCGTTTGGACACGACCGCCGCATGCTTCGCCGAGTGCTCGCGCTGACGACGCAGTTCCGCCTGCCGCACGAGGGCATGGCCGCGTACGAGGTGCTTAGCCGGTGCGACATATGATGTCATGGACAAGACGCGACGGCTCACGCAACCTTCTCGTAGCGGCTCAGCTGTGCTCGGGCAGCGCATGGTCGACAAGGACGCCTCCCGCCTGCACGTGCTCACGTGCGCGCACGTGGCGTGCCCATGGCTCTTCCCCGCCTATTACCCCAACGACTGGCTGGAGCACGTCGACGAGGCGTACGTCAAGCACACGCTGTCACTGCACGACGAGGTGCGATGGCCGCCTGGTCCGCCACGTCGATCCCACGATCCTGCTTGTAGGTCACGTGCGAAAAGGCGTGGGAAATCGAGCTCGAGGCTCACGTGACCTTGCACGGCTCCCGGTACGTCTCTCTCTGCAGGTAGCGTGGCCGTCTTAGCCACGTGCATAGCGATCTGGCGGCGCTCGAGTTGAACCTCGACAAGCACGCCACGAGCCTCCCGACTCTCTCGGGCTACGACCTCTCGCACCTCGCCGCGCTCGACGAGACGACGACGCTGCTGTACCATGGGCACATTGAGCCGTCGTCCGGCAGCATCACGCCGCTCGTCGTGCCCGGGGCCTACTTTTGGCGAAACGCAAGCACGCGCCAAGTGTTTGGCAAGAGCGAGTCGGTGCTCGAGCAAGGCATGTGCGGCGGCGCCGTCACGACCAAGGAAGATGTTGTTGTCGGTCTCATCGAGGGCATCGTCCCCGAGAAGGAAGACGCGACACCCGCGTACAAGACGCTCGAGAACGCGGTGGCGTTCGTGCCGCAGGACGACATGGCCGCATTCATCCACGACATTGAAGTGTTTCCCCACGATGCCAACACGCTCTTCACCAACACGCTCGGGTCCATTGGATCCGACGACTAAGAATGCACTGGTTTTGCATTTTCTTAGTTTTTCTTATTTTCCCAATTCGCCAGTTTGCCTTTTTGCCAGTTTTCCTGTTTGTGAGCTTAGGTTACGACGTCACGATGCGCTTCTTGGCAAACGCCGAGACTGCGACTGCGAGTGCGACCAATGGCGACAAGGGGGCTTGAAAATCCAGGGTAAATCGGACTTTGGAGACCTTCCCAAAGCGCAGCACCGTCCGCTCGTTGGCGTCGTCGAGCGCGCTGAGGAGAAAGTTCTTCTTGGACGGAACATGGACGCGGCCGTCAAAATGGAGCGTCCACGCATGAATCGCTTCGCTCCACGCGGGCTTGGTCGTCTATGTATGACACATGAGATGACGCCATGGCATGCGTCAGTCGACTTGGAAGAGCGCGAGGTCGCTCGCGTCGTCGTCGTCTTGCGCCACAGCGTCGTACGCAGGCGACAGCTGCTTGCTATTGCGCGGGGACGTGAGCGCCTCGACAAACGACTCGACTTCGAGGCGGAGGCGGTCAAGGACCGACGGATCCCGCTCTTGCTGCTGCTTCTTGTAGCGCTCGCTGGGCGGTGGTCCGTGCGGCTCGCGATTGAGCGCCAGCGTGAGGCTGTTGGGGCATCGCCCGAGGACGTTCGATTCGTAGACGAAGAAGCCGAGTTCGCGGCGCGCGTGGTCCAACACGCGAAACTCAGTGCCGAGAAAATTCTCGACTAGTTCGCCCATGTACACGGCGCAGTCTTCGCCGCGGGGCAGATCCTTCCACCCTAGTCGAACGTAGTATGCACCGCCATGACGTGGCAGCGTCGTACGGCGAAGATGGGTGTCGCGAAGCGTATGGAAGAGGAACGGCCCCGAGAGGTCGCTCTCGCAGCTGCAGGCCAAGAGAAACTCGCCCGTGTCTTCGCGGTGCAAATGAAACGACGTGACGTCGTCGCCGCGGTAGCGCTCAATGCATCCCTACTCGCCATCGTATAGGCCTCGTAGCCAGAGTAAGCGAAGGTACGAGAAGGAGGCCGTTGTCGCTGGGCGTCTCGAGCGGCTGGTAGAAGCGTGCCTTGTGTTCGTGGATGCACTGCTTGGCGATACATACTTCGCGCTCGACGTCGCTAAAGCTGCAGGGCGACGTCAAGTGCAGCGTATGGGGCCCGGGGGTAGCGAGTCGCGATTGCGTCTATGACCGGTCGATCGACACGATGAGAAGGGATAAGGGGGCGTCTACCTCGGCCAAGGAAAGGTGCAAGCACGAGATGTGGTCCATCGCGTGCAAGACGTCGCCGATCCGGATCAAGCCGCCTACGCAAGCAGGGTCGCTCGCACGTGAAGAGGCGTAGCATGGCGTACTCGCTTGGGCCGGCCCGTCAAGCGCGATGTGCTTGACGAGCGTGAGCTCCCCAGACCAGTCTCGCTCGAGCTCGAGCCCCAAGGGGCCTACACGTACATCAATATGCTACCTTTGCGAGATGACAACCAGCGTCAAAGTGGACGTCGTAGGCACTAGCCGATTGTGTAAGCGCAAAGGAATCGAGTCGCACGCTCACCGCTGCTTCACAGGCGCCTCGCTGGGGCTCTCGGGCAACAGGCGCGACGAGACCAATGCAATGTCAAGCTCGTCGTCCGAGCCCGACGCTTCGGGCAGCTCATGGGCGTCCGTGTACCACCCATCGACGTCCACAAGATCGTTGCGCTCGGGGGCCTTGAGGCTCGGCAGATCCAGCACCGGTGCTGCGTTGTTGCTGCGAAGCATGACGGCGATCTTCGATGTCGCAAAACTCCCTCAACGGGCGAGCTATCTCGGAACCGGATAACGGCTCCTGCTCCTGCGCTGATCCTGCCACCCATCGCATGTAACGAGCTCCTCTTACGAATATCAAGCCCAGCGTGTCGTCACGAGAGCGTGCCACGTCACGGAGCGGCCCAACGTGAATATAAAGAATTCTTATTGGCCCTTGGAGCGTCGAGATGGTATTCACTATCAATTTGGTTGTCAATTATATGTGTCCGTGGTAGCTTCTGGAGGCGTCCAGGTCGACGCTGCTGCTGAAGGAGGAAGCTCCTTCCATCCTTCGTCCGACGCGCGACGTCATATTTTGGTTTCCTTCCGAAGTCGGCGATCGCCGTATCCGACCACATCATCCGGATGACGTTGCTTATTTCCGAAAACGAAGTGCAGCAGCAGCATGGTCAAGTCCGTGCCTGCCATCCGCCTCTCGGCGACCGTCGTCACGGGCTTTGGCCGCGGCGGCAAGCAGCTCGGGTGTCCGACCGCCAACATGTGCCCGAAGGACCTCGGCGACGCGCTCCACGACACGCCGACGGGCATCTACTGCGGCTGGGCGACGGTCGACGGCGCCGGGCCGTACATGGCGGTCGCCAGCGTCGGCTGGAACCCGACGTTCCAGAACACCGAGAAGACCATCGAGCCGCACTTGCTGCACGAGTTTACGTCCGACTTTTATGGTGCCAAAATCGACTTGCTTCTCGGCGCCTACATTCGGCCCGAGCTGCCGTTCTCGTCGCTCGATGCGCTCATCGAAGCGATTCAGTCGGACATTGCCGTCTCGCGCGAGTACCTCGCCACATCGGAAGGCCAGGTACTTGCTGCCGCGCTCGCCATCCTACCAGCTCCGTCATCATCGTCGTCTCTCTCTCACCATAGGCCCTCATCGCCGACGCCCATTTCGAGGTCCAAACCAAGTAGCCATCTGTAGCTACATTTTGCCTCGAATAGACCGACATGTTGTATGTGTTGACATGGAATGTGTAGCATTAGAGAAATCGAACTAAAAACTAATAGGGGATAATATCTAGGACAAGAACGTCTTCTTGTAGACTGCGTTGATCTGCTCGATGACGAGCAGCACAATCATCGCGTTCGGCGCGCACCGGCCATAGTACGTCCAGTAGCCGCGCCAGAGCTTCCCGACACCTTCCTTGCGCGCGATTTGCGCAAAGCAGTCGCCGACGCCTGCGTACGGGTACTGGCCGGCGCTGTTGACCTTCATGTTCATGAGGCGCGACTTGACAAGGTCGAACGGGAGCGACGTGAACGCACACGCAAAGCCCGAGACCGCGCTGGCGCCGACGTTGGTCACAAAGCCTTGGCCGTAGTAGCTGCCGAGCACTTCCTTGGCCTGGTCGTACGACGCCATCATGCCAAAGTTCATGGCCGCGCCGCGTGCAATGAGGGGCACACTGCCGCGCCAGAGCGTCGGGACGCCTTCGGCCTTGGCGATGCGGAAGATCGCGTCAAACACGTTCTTGTAGCCGCGCTTGTCGGCCGGCGCCGCCAGCGTATCGGCCTGCATACGCACGAGCGAGACGTCCATGGGACAGCCCAGCGTCGCAGCCACGGCGCCCGTACCCATGGCGATCGCGCTCTTCATCCACAGCGGGAGGCCGTCGGTCGCGCCCTTCTCGACGCGGGCGGTCTGGATCGAGTCCGAGATCGCGCGGTGCATGCCGAGGCGCGCCGTGCCGTACACCATCTGGCGCACGACGGCAGCCGAGAGGCCAGCGTACAGGCCCTTGACGCCTTCTTTCGCAATCACCGACTTGGCGACGCTGGCGGCCGTCGCGTTCGAGCCCGTTTGGCCTGCGAGCTGCAAATGCACCTTGACGAGATCGATCGGGTGGATCGCGATCGCGGCAACGACGGCCGCGGACCCGCCGCAGATGTAGGGCTGCGCCTTCACGGCCATGGACGTCGTGGGCTTCACTTGCTGGACCATCGAGGCTGTTGCAACTGTCATCTACGATCTATATTAGTCATTGGCCGCCATCGTCGGGACCATTTACCGTGCGTGACGCCAAGAAATCGAAAATGATGATCCCATAGAAGATGCATCTCAGCCGGTCACACTTGGCGTTTGTATACCGCGCTAAGAAATCCAGTGGCCCGTATCCGGCGCCTCGTCGTCCGGATAATCGCACCGACGGGCAGCAGTTTCACTGGCTGGAAACGCCACGTCTTGCGGTTTGTATGGCGCGCCGCCGCATCCGGATACAAGACTCGTATCCGGTGAACGCAGAAATTATTTGCGGCAAGTAGCCGCCGAAGGAATCCAGCAGGTGCGCCTGTGTGTCCCTCGCGATCTTGACCGTGGCGCCTGTATTTGTAGCATGAATAGCCGCTGCCCATGTGGTGACGACGGTTGTCCTTGGTCTTGACGCCAAGTGGATGGCAAAGCTGCCGACATGCAGTCTTGGACTTGGGTGCAGTGCTATTGTGGACACTTTGATCGGGGAATGGGATGGGCAGCGATGTACGGTGGTTGTAGACGCGTGTTCATTTCAGACACTATTTACGGCGCTGACGGCTCAATTCTCGACGAAATTGGTGCATGACGCGGTCGTCCGACGGTGCATTCTTGTCCACTAGTTGCACGCCACATGAGAGAAGGATGGGGAAGATTGCGCAGCGTCGTACCGTGCTGGAACCCTTTGGCCCGCTGGTCCTCTACAGATACGATGAGCATGCGAACACCGCTTGTTGTAGGTAAAGTGGACCTTTGGATTGGCTCTTGAGGTCCGTGATGTAGTCGTGCTTGTGCTGCTTGTAGTTGGCGCTGACGTTCGTCGGCAGCGCCGAGCTGATTTGGAGCGTGGCTTCGTTGTGCTGTTGACGCTCGAGCGCCTCTTTCGTCGCCTCGACAACCTGGTCGTGGACGCTCTTTGGCAGCTCGACCTCGGCGATGCCCGTGTTCCACGTCACGATCCCACCCTCGGGCGCCTAGCGTAGCCTGATGACACGAGAATGCGCGCCAGCAAGACGCGTACACTCGCAGAGTCTGGGATGTTCATCTTCTTCTTGAGCTCGTCGGGAATGCGGTACAGCTCTTGCTCTGCCGTGAGCGCTGGCGCCGCGTTCGTTCCGTCGTCCAGCTTGTACTTGGCCTTGAGTTTCTCTTCGACGTACGTGTTCCTAGTCGTTGGATCACTTCTGCTGCGACTGCGCTTTTAGCACAACGTACATGATCTGCGCGTAATGATCGGCGGTCGTCATCTGCGACTGCGCTGTGAATTGCCCATCGAGCGTATTGGTCTCGGCGGTCTTGGCCTTCGTGGGCGCCGGCTCGGTCGTCGCCGCCACGCCCTTCACGAGCATCTGGCGCTTCCGAGCCTTCTGGTCTTCGCGGAGCTCACGCAGCTCGTCCAGCGAGACCTCGTTGCCGTCGCTGCCATCGTCCTCGACCGGCGCTCGCGTCCGCTTCGGCTTCTTGGCCCGCTGCCGGAACATTGCACTTTACCATGCTGTATCCGGTCAATCCGGATACATGCCTTGTCTAAAAACACGCCACTGCTTTGCAGCAAAACGAGCGCAAGCATATATAGAAAGTCAAGTTGATACTTTGCAACTACATGTCGGCGGTCGCGTTCTGGTACGCGTCGGCCTTGTCGGCTTGGCTCTTGTTCTGGCGCAGGAGCACCTTCTCTTCCCAGTTGTTGCCGCGCACGACGCCGTCCCAGCGGTAGCCCGGCGGGATGTTGAAGCGGTTCGGTGGCGCCGACGGGCCCGAGTAGCGCGGTTTGCTCTTCTTGGACTTTTTCGACGTCTTCTCCAAAAGCTCCTTGGCGTCGTCCTAGATCAAGTCAGCGCCATCGCCCTGGCATGGACGTCCCGTGTACCTTGAAGAGCGACGACTCCATCGGATCAAAGTTACGTGGGCGGTGCTTGAGCGCCGCATCGAGCTCGCCATCGTCCTTGTAGCGCGCAAAAGGCTAATACATACGCATGAGCGGGAGCACATATGCGTTTGTCGTACCTTGGCCTTGATCTCTTCGAGCTGTTCGCGCTGGTTCTTGAGCTCTTCCTTCCGAACCTTGCCTGTGCCCCACTCGTATTCTTCGAGCGCCTCACGCTTGCGCTTGCCCTCGTGGATCTCGCGTTGCCGCTCCATCTCCATGAGCATATCCAGCTTGCGCCCGCGCTTGTCACGGTAGACCGTCTCGGCTTGCTTGCCCATCAGCGCTTCGTCCTCGAAGAGCGCGCCTTGCTGCTTGCGCGCCCGCTCGCTCTCTTGACGGAACTCTTTGCCCGTAAAGACGCCGCCGCCCGGCGCTTTCACAGGTGACGACCGCTGAGGTGGTGTCGGGGCGTCGTCCGCAGCTTCGTTGGTCTCGGCCCGCGACGCCGCTGGTGGGGGCGACCGTGCGCGGGATTGGTGAGCGCTTGGTGACCGGCGGGGGCTGCGGGATCGGCGAGGGCTGCGAGATCGACGCCGGCGGTCGCGGCGTGGCGACGGGCTGTCACGGCGGTGGCGACGAGGAGAGGACGATCGTTCTTTGCTGCGGCGATCACGGCGCGGCGACCGCTCACGGCTTCGTCGGCGACGAGGCGACGCGGACCGGGACCGGCGCTTGCTTCTCGACCGCCGGCGTTGAGGTGAAGGGGACTCATCTCGTCGACGACGATCCGAACGGCGGCGCGGAGGCGAGGCATCTCGCGGTGGCGGCGACGACGGCGCACTCTCGCGCTTGGAGACTCGAGGCGGTGAAGCGTCACGCGGCAACGAAGATGCGGGTCGGGTGCGACGGGGTGGCGAGGCGTCTTCGCGTTGCCGGCGCGGAGGTGACGCATCCTGACGAGGTCGTGGCGAGGCAACTTGGCTGAATCGGGACCGACGCGGGGGCGAGGCATCGCCGCGGTCCGCGGGACGGCGCCGGGGTGGTGATGCATCTTCGCTTTGATCTTTGCGGGAGCGACGCGGGGGCGAGGCGTCACTGTCAGTGTCACGAGCTCGTCGCCGAGGCGGGGACGCGTCCCCAGAAGTCGCCCGACGAGGCGGCGAGGCATCGTCAACTGCCCGTCGTGGTGGCGTGTCGGATCGCCGGGACTTGCGCGGAGGCGACGCATCAGGTTCTGCTGCCTTGGCGCGACGGGCGTTGGCTTCGTCTTCTTGCCACTGCTGCTCGAGCTCGTCGGCCCGCTCGCGCTCGAAAAACTCCTCGGCGTTGGCGACGACGGGCTGATTCTCGGGGTCGTAGTCCGTTTCGACGACCATCGGTAAGTCTTCATCCACATCGCCAGTCTCGTTCTGCCACAAGTCGGTCTTCTTGCCCTTGGGTGCAAGCTCGCGCCAGTCGTCGTCGTCATCGATCACGCGCATGCCCACATGCGAGCTCTTGGCCTTGCGCTTCTTCTTCTTCTCTTCCTTGGCCCCACCTAGTCCATATCATCGACTTGCATCCTCGCTCGTTCGCGCGTACCTGCCATGTAGCGCTGGAGCGCCTCCATCTTGGACGCCATGCCACCGCTCTGCAACCTGGGACTGTGCCGGATACGCTGCCAGTCGAATGACCGGATACACGAACCATTATCCGGCAGTCTCTGCTGTATCCGTATCCGGACCCTCCGAATAAGAGCAATGTGCCCCGGGGCACGTACCCACTACCCGTGCACATCGAATCTGCGCACATCCTGGCGACATCGGCGCTCGTGTCGGCGTCAACTTGCGGCTACTCGGTCCCATAAAAAAGAAAAATTTAATGCCACATACAATGCCCCACATAAAACGGACAAGATAAAAAAGGACGCATGACGCACGCCGCGTCACGCGCGCCCACTGTGCGTGCGAGCCGCCATGCGATTGGTCGAGGCGACACCAGCGCCGCATCCTTATTGGTGCACTACCGATCCCTAGCCCCGATCTTCCTCTCTTGGCGGTGGATTGTCGCAGATATTAGTTATGAAAGGATATGCAAAGGTAGAGGTACCGGCCGCACCCGACGCGGACGTTGAAGATAAAAGGATAGAGGATATCCAAGGAAAGGACGTCGACAAGGTCAGTTTGCCTTTTTGAGCCAAGTACCCAAGCACTATCATGCAAGTCGACCATTCGAACCCGATCACGCTCAGCCGCTTCATCCTCGCCGACGGCGAGCTCCAGTCCAACAACGACCTCTGCATCCTCTTCAACTCAATCGAGCTTGCGTGCAAGGTCATCTCGTCGGCCGTGCGTCGCGCCGGTACGTCTATGCCACGCAACCGAGTGGCTCACGCTGCCACGTACCTGTAGGCCTGACCGGTCTCTATGGCCTTGATGGCTCGACCAACTCGACGGGTGACGACGTCAAGAAGCTCGACTTGCTCTCGAACGAAATCTTTATCAACTCGCTCCGCAACTCGACCAAGATTGAGGTCATGGTCTCGGAGGAGAACGAAGAGCCGATCTGGGTCGAAGGCGTCTCGGGCTGTACGTCGCATCCACATCGTATTGATCGAGACACTCATGGCACTTGGTTTAGGCAAGTACGGCATTGCGTTTGACCCGCTCGACGGGTCGTCCAACATTGACTGCAACATTTCGACGGGTACCATCTTTGCGATTTACGCCATGCAAAACACGGGCCCGCGCCGCCAGTACGCCGCACACAACCTTCTTTCGCCGACACTAAGTTCCGAGTAGGATCTCGGACATTTTGCAGCCGGGTCGTCAGCTCGTCGCCGCCGGCTACTGCATGTACGGTAGCTCGACGCAGATGGTCGTCACGTACGGCAAGGGCGTCCACGGCTTCACGCTCGACCCGACGATCGGCTCGTTCATCCTCTCGCACAAGAACATCCGCATCCCGGAAAACCCCAAGACGGTAATACATCGCTTGCGCGACGTCGAGATTGTGATCCAAGTATGTAGATCTACTCGTGCAACGAAGGCAACTTTGCCCTCTGGGACGCGCCCACCAAGCAGTTTGTCGACGAGTGCAAGAACGCGCCCAAGCCGTACGCTGCCCGCTACGTCGGCAGTATGGTCTCGGACGTGCACCGCACGATCCTCTACGGTGGCGTCTTCTTCTACCCCGCCGACAAGAAGTCCAAGACGGGCAAGCTTCGCATGCTCTACGAAGCGATCCCGATGTCGTTCATCGTCGAGCAGGCCGGCGGTCTCTCGACGAACGGCACGACGCGTGTCCTCGACCTCAACCCGGTACTACCTCCTCTCGTTGCACCATCCCGATGCTAATGAGCATATGTAGACGCACATCCACGAGCGCACGGGCATCTTCCTCGGCTGCAAGCGCGACGTCAACCGCATTCTGGCCCTCTACGCGCAGAAGTAAGACACGCGCTGCGCCCTCCTTCATGTCAACCCGATCTTTCGTTTCAAGAGTTGCGTTGGGAGGAGCATTTCGCATCAGGTCGACTCTACTTGGCAGAAAGGCCCTCCAGGCAACAGAGGTCGCGTCGCAGCAGCGTGGTAGGCCGGACGGCGGTACGATGTTGATGGCATCGCGACATGCGTCGGGCACCCATGCGCGTCGAACGGCTCGGTGCATCCAAGAAGCCTCGATGGTTCGAGTCGCTCGAGGCAAATGATGTGGCGCCGATTGACGTTCGGGAGCAAGTCGCATTACAGTCTTGTTTACTCTTCCAGGGCAGAGGTTGCTGCAGTACAAGAGTACATGGATGAAGGCGGTCCCACGTTGAAGTTGATGTTGAAGAGGCCATTGCGAGCCAAGTTTGTCACCCAAAGGACAAGCTCCACCCGAGTTCGAATCCACGCACGGCCATGATTGCAAAAGGACCGTCGTTCGTGTACACAGCTGTGGCACGCAGCGTGCAATATTGCGTGTTTGGCGGGACTTGAACTGCCGTCAGATCGAAACTGCATCCGATCGAAATGTTCTCTAAGGCCTGCGTAGTGGAACAGATGGCACGTGGCTCTCGACCAGTTACGGACATGCAATTCTATTGCAAAAGGTCTTCCTTTGTTGCCGTCGATCCTCCGTCAACCAAAGGGCAATATCAAGTGCAATGTGGCGACATATATAAGTACATGAGCTCAATTGACGAGGGAGTAGTAGGTCGCAGTATCGCGCTCTTTCCACGCGAGGCCCAAGACGATGCTGAGGACGCCGACGGCAATGCAAAAGACGCTCATCGGAAGCCCATACGCCGCGCCGCCGAGGAACGTGTAGATGAGCAAGCCGAGGTACGTGGCGTAGAGCCCACTGCCCGTGAAGCTGCCGAGACAGCCGAGCCAAAGCAGCGGCTGGAGCGCACCAAACGCCGCGGCGAGCAGCAACAGCACCGAGAGGACAAAGAGATAGGCAAAGGCGCCGAGCGAAGTAAGCGTTGCGCGCAGCGCGCCGAGCTCGCCAAAGGCAAATGTGGTGGTGACAAAGCTGAGGACCGCAGCCGTGACACCGACGAGGGCCACAAGCGTCATGCATACCTGGTGCAGCGTGTAGAGTCCACCCATGGTGTTGTTGTTGTCGAGCGAGCGGGATAATTCGAGTCTGCGACGACCATCCAGAACTGAGTTGCATTTGGCGAAATTTTGAGACAGCGAAAACGCGCCGCCGAAATCTCGGCCCACAGGCCTCCACGCAGCACAAGCGCGTTTGTCCACTGCTAGAACAGGTACATTCGCTGGTCGTCCTCGCCAATGTCTCTGCGTCCGGTGTCTAGGCATTCTGCCATCGGCGGTCCATTCTTCCTGCCGGCGCGAAAATTTCATCTGTGCGGGCGAGACGGGGTGGTCAATGGCCATCTCCGTGTAGAGGTTGGCGGTTTCTTGCCGTCGTATGGAGCGTGCCGAACTTCTCCGCTCTAGATATCGCCCAACAGTCCCCAGTCTTGATCTGTGCAGCGATACATCCGCACGCGCCATGAACATGACGTGGTACACCGTGGGCGGTGTCGGCGGCTTCCACCTCTTTCACCAAGTGTCGACGCTTCTCTTGGCGACTGTGAATGCAGCGGCCACTGGGTACATCCTCAGCACGTTCGACTACGGGTATGCCGCGTCCGCTGCATCGGTGGCCCTCACGCTCTTCCAGCTCTTCCTCTCGCTGCTCGTCATCCCGGCGCTCCTCCTCGCAACCGCTGCGCCACTCGCGTGGTTTCCGCTCCTCGCGTCCTTCCGCGGCAGCGGCTTTTACCTCTTTGGTCTCGGGCTCCTTACGCTCTATCGCCTCGGCAATCTCTTTGGTCTTATTACGGGCGGAGCTTGCATCCTCTTTGGCATTTTCTTTGTGCTCTATGGACAAGTGTGGCGCGAGCGTGGGTCCAAGTCGTACCGCGCCTTGTTTTGGACTTAAGATTCAAGTTTTTAGATTGAAGATTGAAGGAATATTTTCGAATTGCAACGATTTCAATGCATCAACGAAAGATGGGTTTCTTGGCTTTTTCCACAACGATGTGCGACGGACCGGAGCTCTTGGCGCCGCTCCGCCGGGGCTTTTGGACGCTCTCGCGCATGCTTAGAAGCACCTTCTCGACCGCGTGGATCTGCTTGATCGTGCTCGGCGTGCGGCCAAAGTCGACCGCCTGGAGTTGCGCAATGAGGCCCTGGACCACGTCTGTGTCGGTGCCAAGCCCAAAGGTGACGGCCTCGGCGGCGATCGCCTCGACCGCGGCGGCTTGAACTTCGTTGGCACAGGCCACTTCGGCCTCATGCCACTCGCTTCGCTTCTCTTCGATGATCTTGGCCTTCTCTTCCTCAAGCATGGCACTTGGAGTAGCAGGTTCTGGGTCGCTACTATTCGTGGAGGGCGGCCCGCAAGCCATGCGCGCCAGCTTGCGCTTCTCAAGCCGCGCCAACAAGCGCATGTGTTCAAGAGATTCGCGCGTCTCGAGTTCGGTCTCGAGCTTCTGCAGCATGATCGCGTGCTGCGCTTGCATGTGCTCGAGGCGTGCAAACTCGGCTTCGGCGTGCCGACGCAGCGCGAGGGCCTTGCGCCGGGCGACGACTTTGGTGAGGCTCACGATCGCAAACAACTCAGCTTTGTGCGCGCTCTTGACGTCCGCCACATCGATGCTCTTGTCCAAATTCGTTTGCGGGTGCTCGAGCGCTTGAAGCTCGCGCGCATGCGCCTCCACTGCGTCCTGGATTTGGGTCTCGTGGGCAGAAGTGAGCGCGGCGGACGCCTGGACGACCGCTGCCGCGACTGCCGCGTGCACTGCGTCGTTGGCAACAATCGAAGTAATCTGCGTGTGCGCCTGGGCGAGCGAGAGGAGCTGGTGGAGCGTCTTGGAGAGACGGCACTCGGCCCGCACCTTGCGCGCCGCGCGCTGGAGTTTGCCGTAGAGCGCCGAGTGTGCGGACGCGACAAAGATGGTCGGTGCCGCGCGCGCCTGCTGCTCCAATTGAAAGTGCGCGTCGGCTGCAAGACTCGCTTGGAGCGCCGCGGCACTCGCTTCGTACGCACTCAGCGCGTCAGTGAACGCCATCTGAAGGTCGTCGGCCGACCGCGTGTCGGTCAACGGCGTCGCCACAACCTCGGCGCGGCGCTTGGCCTTGGTCAAGTAATAGGCTCCACAGATGCGCGCATGCGCGACCATGTACTCGAGCTCAAAGACATGGTGCTCCAGCAGCGTCGCGTCGTGGGCCTCGAGCGCTTCTAGCGACAAAATCGTCTCGGGAAAGTCGGCCAGAAGCCGCGACGACGTTTCGGCCGCCTCGCGCCGCAGCTCGTGCTCGTCGACCGCCATTGCCTACAGCAAATTGTTTGAGATGCAGATACATATATATGGTCGGGATATCCTAGTCAGTAATACGTGGTCGTTGGGATACCGCTTGTACTTCAGCGCAAGTGCCGCCGCCGCCGCATTTTCGTATTGCTTGACATTACGTCGAAGAATCTTGACGTCGTTGCGGTAGATGGGCACGAGCATCTTGAACGTGCTCTGGAGACGCGCGTGGTGCTCCATTGTCGATGGCGTCGGCGGCTGAGCGAGCTTGGCCCAGTACTCGCGCACGAGGCAGTGGCGCGACTCAATGTAGCTCTTGCATGCGTTCATGGCGATGACGCGAAACTGCAAGTCGCCGAGCTGCTGCAACGTTGCTTCGTACACAATGTCGGCCATCGACTGCGGCAAGAGCACGGGCGGCGCCTGCACGATGGCTGCGGCGCGCATTAACATCGTTTGCAGTGCCATTGTCGGCTCCATGGGCACCATATCGAGTTCGATCGGTGCAGTATCGTCAATCGCGCTCTCCTCTTTCGCATGGTCCCAGCCGAAAAAGTGCTTGAGCACCTTGGCGGCGTCGTCTTTGGTCTGGAGGAACTTGTGCGTCACGTCCTCGGAGCGCTGCTTGGCCTTCTCGATCGCGTCTTCCATCCTTTGCGCTTTGAAATGGAAATGCAACTGAACCGGTAGCCAACGGCGATGCCTATTTTGATCCGGTATTCCGGGGGAGACGACCACCCGAACGTGTGAGAACGTCGATTGATCTCACTCAATTGCTGTGTGAAAACGGCCCGTGGCTGGGTTGGGATGCTGTGTCCTGTGGCATGAGCCTTCAACAGCTGGTGATTTATCTGCCTTTAGGTCTGGGAGGGTAGAAGACTTCATTCGACATTATTTATTTCTCAAACTCAAAAAGCACAATCGACACCAAGTGCGAGCCGAGGCGCTCGGCCATCTCGAGAGCTGTTTCTCCACTGGCTTTGGTGCGAATGTCCGTGTCAGCCTTATACTCGAGAAGCACTTCCGCTGCCTTGACGCGGTCCGTTAGCGCCGCTAGGGATCGGTATCGTCCACCACCGTGTCGCTCTCGAATAGCCTTTACCGTAGTGAAGCGCGGTGAGGCCTTCGTTCTAGAATTCGTCATGTCACCATCACAGAGCTCGTCACAAGCGCGTACATCGCGGTCGTTGATGTCAGCCAAACGGTCAAGGAGGAAGCGAACAATGGTAGCATGGCCTTCCGCAGCCGCCTACATGGCATCTCCCTTGAGGCGTTGCATGCGCTGCATGTTCCCACCAGCATGAGGGGCGTGGTCCCAATTTTCTATAACAAACGTGTCTCCGTCCCACGCGAGAGAAGAGATAGATTACATCGCGCCGATTCACCGTCACGTACGGCGACGGCGCGTACTTGAGCAAGAGACCAGCAGCATACTTGTGCTTGCCCATGACCGCGTAGTGCAGCGGTGTCCACCGCATGTCGAGCTAAGCACCGTCCTATGGAGCGACAACATGGGGCATTTGCACGCTTACATCGGGCTCGTCGATCGACCCTTCCTCCTTGATGAGTGTCGCAATCGCGGCTTCGGAGCCCTACGCGCGAATGGTTCATAGTTTCTCGGTGCCAACACCGTGAAGTTGACCATGCGGCAGGCGAAGTGCAAGGCGCTGCGCCCCTTTTCCTACACGCTGACTGCGGTACACACAGAGTCCAAAGCGCCAAATACATACATCCCGCGCGTTGACGTCTTGGTGCCCGGAGCGAATGTCTCGGACCATTGTGATCGCTTCATCGTGCGCCGCTACGGCCGTGTGTCGCATGAGGTACTCGTGTGCCGTCGTCGTACCGTTGATGTGGAAGCGAATCGTCTTTTTATACGAGGACAACTTGTCGTGGATCGTGTCGCCGTCCATTTGGCGCAACATGGGCGCGTTCTTTCCCTGGACGCGCTGTTGCGCGCGCGAGAGCTCCATGAAGAGCTTGGGTGCCTTTGCCTTCTTGGCCTTCTTCCCATCGCTACCGGTGAAGAGAGCGAGGAGCCCTTTCGGTCCCTGCGTCATTAGCTGCTGCTCGAGCAGCGCATCTTCTTCGGCCCGTTCCTTCTTGGACAGCATCCGCGTTTATTCGACCGTTATCAACGCACCCTACCCCTTATCGCCTAGGACACTATTTTGTCGATTGTCAACTACGCTTGTGACACCAATGCCCAGGACATGCAAATAGGTGTTGTATAATATTGTCTTTGTTAGTTAGTTGCCGCCGTCTCGGGGGCCGAGGCCTGACGTCGGCCGCGCAGATCAAGCAGCTGGACACCGAGACCGGCTGGCAGTCGACACCACTCCATGTCCAAATCAGCAAGCCTAGCAAACATGAGAGGCTTCGCAAATGATGTTTGGTGTCAGAACGCACGAAGGGGAGGCGTTGTAGGCGGCAAGCAGCGCTGGCGCGGCGCGGGCGACGCTTTGGCAGCTACCAATAGTGCATTCGACGATGGACTGCGGCGCTAAGAGAGGTACCGACGGAGATGCAAGCACCGAAGCGAACGCGAGTGGCCGATAGCAACTGCCAGCGCACACCCGCCTTTGTATCCAAGTCGCGTGCCATTGAGAGCCACCTGCACACTTGAAATCACAAAGTGGTAAAACGACCCTCGCCACCTTGGTCAAGGACGGTGCCGTGGAGATGGCCGACGCGACTGCGATCGCGCCGTGGCTGCCAACCACGTTGTCGCAGCTCGCATCGTGCTCGGTCCAGTCGTTGCTCAAGTCGAGGACCCGGAGCGACTTGGACGTCTACGAAAGAGGTGTCCGAGTGCGTTAGCGCACGCAACAGTGACGCACGGCGGCGCTGGCGGCGAGAAGCACGACACCCGCTGGGCCCAAGAGGCACGACACAAGCCGAATCTCAACGAGCTGATCGTAGCGCAAGAGAATATCCTACGTGATCCGCCGACAGTGGATGAGGTTTTGAGACGAGGCGTCGTACGGCTATCGCGTGTGCAAACACATTCGTCAGCGGCTCGAGACTCTTGGCGACGACCGTCATGGTTTGGACCGTGACCGTTGGCTCTGTTATAGGGATATCGAGGACGCGGCGATCCGAGGCAAAGGTTTGGTCGACCTACACGATCACGGTTAGTCCATTCTTCCACGCAACTTTGTCACCTCGATCATGGCGCCATCGTCGTCATGAGCGGTCGCGGATGCGGGGCTGGGGTTCACAGACGTGGCCAAGCCGATAGCAACCAATCCAGACAAGCCAAAGTACTCCTACAGCAAAGAACTTCGAATTGCGAAAAGGCTTGACGACGACGAGAGGTCGGACAATTTCATCGGGCGTCCACGAATGCTTGGGACCCCATAGTAGCTGCTCGTAGATAGTAGCAAGCATCTTGAACGCGCCAAGCTTCGTTACTTGCCGCTTGCAAATGTCCCGGAGGTAGTTGCCATCGCGAAGACCTTGGGCGTGCGCCACGTCGAAGCGATGCAGGAGATGCTGAAAGGCGTCGGGCAACGAGCCTTCGTCCAGCAGTGCAGAACTACGACCACGTTTCTACTTGATTCGTCGTTGGTACGTACTTGTAAAAGCAGAATATGTTGTTGGCGATCGCACGTAGCGCCAGCTCGAGCAGCGTTGGGACCGGCGGCTCCATTTGTCGATCTTTTATGGCCAATAGGTTAAAATCACCCAACTCTCATGTGTGTTAGCTGTGCAGACCCGATCGATTCTCATAAATACGCCGACATAAACGTCAAAAGAGACTATGGACGCCGTGTATGCCAACTCAATCTTCGCAGTACCCGATCGGCGGCCACATTTTCCTGCGCGCTGCCCGTCGTATGCACGAGTGACGCTTCAAAACATGGTGTTTTTATCCGATCTTCACGGTGCATAAACCCTTCACAAATGATATTATATCCGGATACCACACCTGGTATAATAAATAGGCCGCGGGGCCCAGTCATTTCACTTTCGAATTTGCCGCGTTTTGACAAGATTCCCAGTGGAGTTGTGCCGTAGTAGACTAGGAATCGTACTTGTAGTAGCGACTAGAGACAGCGTCGGCCCTGCTCGGTTTGGAGTACTTTCGTTGTTGCTTCGGCAATGTGAACGCGACTCTTCACGCAGCGCCCAGAGAAAGCTCATTTCCTCATCCGCCTACTCGCCTACCTCAGCGATCGGGCCGGAACTAAGAAGTGAAACATACAACACCCCAATACAAGATTTCTTATAAAGCTCAGAAGGTAGACTATAACAAAGACAAAATGCAACTCAATACGACGCTCCTTCTAAATACAACGTCTCTCTTATCTCGTCTTAACAATCAAGTCCAAGACCACGCGACATTGGTCCGCCACGATGTCATCGTCGCCATCAAAGCGACGGCGGCTGAGCCTGGCCACGTCCGGGAGCATCTTCCTCTCGAGCACGAGCGGACAAACAATGGCGGCGTCCTTGTCGACAAGCGAGAGCAGCAGTGAGGTCGAGAGGCGAGCGATCACGGCGACCTCGGCAAGCGTCGGCTGGTGCACTGCGGCGTGGATCGCCGACGCGACGGCGTCCAGGACAGAAGGCAGTGCTGGCGTGAGCGACTTGTGCTGGTACCAGTTGAGAAGGAACACAAACGGGTAGATGCGGAGGTTCGACTCGCGGTCTTCAATGCTCTCGTCGGTCGGCGCGTCGTCGGTTGGCGCCATGCTCGAGAGCACCATGTCGCAGGCACTCGGGACAGCACCGGCGATGGTCTCGAGCGGCCCAGCGTCGCCGTCGTCATCTACCCATCGCACGATCCAGCCCAGCACGAAGATCGCGTCGCCTTGGGCCCATCGGTTCTTCCCGGCGACCATGCGCATCAAACCATGTACGATCGCGTCGCCGTGAGCTGCCATGAGCTCCGCACACGCTTCGCTGCACATGCAGATGGAGCCCAAGGCGCTCGCACTCTTGCACTTGAGGAGGACGTCACGGCACTTGAGCGCGTCCACGATGTGCTGCACGACGTTGGCGCCTTGGGCGAGGAGCATCCGGCGCACTTGGACACCGCGGTCGTCACAGGCAAGCGCGGCGAGCGCCGTGAGTCCGTCTACGAAGCGGCTCATGGCGTCGGACTTCATGTTCCACGTTGCCTTGTCGCTTTCGCCGAGGTCCAGGAGGTGCATGAGGTCCGTGGCATGGCCGTAGGCCTCGATCTCGACCTCGAGCCGGCCGTCCATACTGTGCCCGACAGGCCACCATTGGTGGGTTCGCTTCCAGTATAAAGCCTGGCTTTAAGAACCATGATGGATTTTGACAGCTCAGAATCAAACAAATACCTTGGCCTGACGAACCTTTGCCCTGTCGCGGCAACGGCCAATCGGAGACGGCCATTTAGCGAGGCCGTGAGCAGCATCATGTGGGGCGCAATCACGGGGCAGCTCGCGACGTATGCTGGCGAGCTCACGAACGACCTGCGCGAGATCGTCGCTGCGGGCGACGAGGGCGCCTTGTCGCCTGCGGAAGGCCTCTCGCCACGCGCCCAGCCGCGGTCCATCGGCAAAGGCAACGACGACGACGACGACGACGACCTCGACGCCTACGTCCTTGACCTCGAGCGGTCGCTCATCCGCAAGCGCCACGAGCATGAAGCCGCGCTCAAGGAGGTGCAGCGAAGCGCTTTTGAGGAGCAAGCTCTCACGAGACCGTAGATTGAAGGGTTGCAGCAGCGCTTAGCCGCCACGCCGCCACGCAGTCAGGTCTCGCCTTCGTGCAAGCTGCACAAACTCATGCTTCGTAGACACGTGATCCCGACGCGAGCAGCATCTTGACCAAGACGGAAGACGAGAAGAAGGCGCTTCTTGCCGACGTGGCCAAGCTCCATGCGGCGGTTGCTGCAAAGGACGCCGAGCTCGCGTCCCTCAACGATCAAGTCGCGTCACTTGTTGCCCAAAACCAAACGACTGACCAAAAGCTATCGCAGCTCCAAGCCGAAACCAAGGTGGCGCATGCGTTGCACCGGACATCGCCGCCCGACGCTGAGTCGGCCACCGACGGGCCGCTCGTGCTCGCCATGACGACGCTCTCCAAAGTGCTTCCATCGGGCGCGTCGCCCGCCGAAGCAACGTCCTTGTCCTCGACGGTAGAGCGCCCACCTCTTTGCACCTGTCGATGGAATCCAATGTACAGGTGGCCGAGTATGCAACGCTGGCAGCAGCCCGTATCTCGGCCCTGGAAGGCGACGTCAAGCTGCTCAAGAACGCCCTGCACGCGTTTCTCCTCTCGCACGACGCTCGCCTCGATGCGACGGCGACGGTCGCCGACTGGACTGTCGCGGCCAAAGCCAAATTGGATCAGCTCACACAAAAGATGGTGGCTGACCAAGACCGCGCCGGTCGCGTCGAGCAGCAACTGAGCCTCGCGAGCAGCAAGCTTGCGCAGGTGCCCTCTCATGTGCGAAACGTCAATTATAACGATGGCTGTAGACGCAAAAGACGCTGGAGACGCACATGCTCGAGCACGACGCCCTCCAGAATGCCTTTGCTGCGACGTCGGCCAAAGCCAAAGAGGCGTCGGCGGCGGCCAGTCTCGTGCCGGAGAAGGACGCGACGATTCGAGCGCTGCAGACCAAAACCAAGCAGGTACTGTCGTTTCCACCTGCTGCGATAGACTCATATGAAAAATGTACTAGCTCACGCGCCAGAACGACCAACTGACCGAGGAAGCGGCCGAACTCGCCGACCAAGTACCTACCGTGTACGACATGATTTGATCGACGCGCTACTCTAGTTGGCTCAACTCAAGCGCGTGGTACATACGCAAGAGTCGTCGCTGCAGGAAGAGATGCACGAGAAGGAAGAGGCGGCACTGGACCGCCTCGCCGAGCTCGAGCACCTTGTCTACGCGCTCAACGATGAGCTAAAAACGACCAAGGAGGCGTATGCGCTGGAGCAGACCCAATGGGTACAGCATGCCCAGGCGAACGCGAGCTCGCTCACCGAACAAGAGACGTTTGAGCTCACGACGCAGCTCACGCTCCTTCAAGCCGACAAGCACATTGCCGAGCAGGTACTGTTTCGCTCTATTGCGCCTGTTTATGTGTCAACTTTGCCTAGGACGCCGAGCGACTGCAGTCGGAGCTCGCGAACGCACACGCCATCTTTCTGCAGTTTGAAGCCGACCGGAAGCGCGAAATGCAAGCGTACGAAGCTCAAATCGCCGCGCTGCGAGCCCCTGCACCGGCACCGGCGCCAACGTCCGAGCACGAGGTTGACCTCAAGCGTGTGCTCGGGATCCTGGAGAAGAAGCAAGTCGAGTGCGACCGGCTGCGTGAGGTGAGTCGTGTCGGGTCCGACGCGGGTGTGGCATGCCTTGACGCTGTGTAGGCGCTGGACCGGACGGCGCAGCATCTGGGCGACGACGTTGACAACATTGACAAGCGCATGGCCATCCAAATGATGGTGCGTGGCCGAGTGGCGGCGCTTGCGCTGATCACGTCGACTGTAGATTCAGTTCCACGAGAGCCCCAACAAGCACGACGTACTCGAGGTCATTGCGCGCATTCTGGTACGTCGGAAAGCGCGTCGTCGCGCTCATGACAACGCTGCAGGGCTGCACGGACGACGACAAGGAGCGGTTGCTTGGGAACCCGCTGCGACTTCAGCTGCGGTCGCTCGGCCGACTCTTCCAAGGCGCATCGTCCGATCCGCCCGTCGACGTGGCCGGCAAGAGCTTTAGCGACGCATGGACCGAGTTCTTGCTCGACCAAGTGCCTTCTGAAAAGTAACCAAGCACGTCGTCGTTGTCACGTGTGCCACGAGGGCTATGGGCGGTGGCAAGGGCGGTGGCGGGGCGGGCAGCTGCAGCGGTGGTACTGGCGTTGTCGGGCTTGGTCGCGGCCCGAGGCGCGGGCCGCGCGGCGGTCGTTGCGACGGCATCGTTCGCCCCGCTCGAATCTGCAAGTGGGCGAAGGCCAGCGACCGCCAGGACCAACATTCACGCAAAGCGTGGCGAGCTGAGCTTGATTCCTCGCCGGCAAGGTCGCAGTGGCCGGGCCAAGCTGGCTGCGTGGCAGCCACACACCAAGCGAAGAGGCGATCGCATGTCTTTTCTGCGCCAAGCACTGGACTGTACGCCCGTTGGTGGCGTCGGAATGCATGGCATGCTCCACGGTCGACGCGTGGCGTGCATGGCAGCAAATGGTCTGTCGAGCAGCGCTGGGAGCGCTGGCGTCGGGACCCATCTGTCGCCCGCTCCTCCTTCTTATCTCCATGGCACGTTGCCAGCGCGACCAGAGGGCCAGCGCCGCCGGAGGTTTCCATAAAATATAATAAAGGCCAGCTGGCGCAATTCAACTCGAATTTCGTGGGCGGCGACCGCATTTTTATTCCACGAACATACAAAATGCAAGGTATTTAATGCAGCAAGTGGACCAACGGGTAAAAGATTACTGGAATTTTATTACAAAATCGGCTCAGTTTGCGGGTTGCAAGGCCAACCACGAGCAGCAGAGCCGCCGACCAGACAAGCGCGAACATGCTGAGCCCGCCCGACCTTGTGGCCGGCGCCGCCGCCCGCGGGCCCGACGGCGCCGTGCCCATCACGATCCAGCCACAGACCAAGGAGATGCTCGACCTGCGGCTGCCCTCCCGCGCGATCCAAATCCATCGCGACACTACGTCCCCGTCGCGCTTCCAGGCCTTTGCCCACTCGTGCCCCGCAGGCCGGCCGCTGCACGACAACCCGCCGCGTGGCGTGCGCCATGTGCCCTTGACGCCACAGATTGGGTCGCTCCCGGACCCGTCATTTGCTTTTCTGCAAGCGCCCATGCCACCGCTCGAGCTGCCGCCGCCGAACCGCGAGTCGCTTTCGGACGAGCGGTTTGCCTCCCCGTTGACGGCGCCGGCGCCACTGCAGCCGCGCCCGCGCGAGACAGTTGTGCAGTTTGCATCGTCGTGCCCGGCGCAGCTCGACGGCTTCTTGACGCGCATGACGCTCGACGACAATCACACGCTCTTGTCGCAGTCGCCGTCGCTGGCCATTCTCCGCGACATGCGCCGCGGGTCGTACGCGGACATGTCGGCCAGCCGCCGCTCGTTCGACCGCCCCTTGATCGACGAGCGCGACGAGTACGACAGCGACGACGACGAGTACACCGACGAGGCGCACCCGCGCGACTCGCAGGACGGCGGCATCTTTGAGTTTGAAATGCCATAGACACGCCACCACGATTCATATCATTATAATACTACGTTAGACCAGAATTCCATTGTGTTGCTCGTCCTCCTGCTGCCGGCGCTCAATGCGCTCGAGGGCCTCGACAATCGATGCCATCGGCGGCCGCTTGGACGGGTCCAGCTGCAAACACTGCCGGCCAAGGCGAGATACCTCTTCGGGGCAGTGGTCGCCAAAGCTCGGCACCGCGCGGCCCGTCATGAGCTCTTGCACCAGCACCCGCTTCGGGTCGTCGTCTACCACAGCGCGACGATGAGACAATATGTACACAAACTCAGCATGACACGTACGGTGGGCATAGTCATGGAACGGAAGCGCATGCGTCGCGAGCTCGGTGAGCACGACGCCAAACGAGTAGACGTCAATGGCTTCGCAGTAGTCTTCGCCACGCAGCATTTCGGGCGCGGTCCACTGCGTCGTCCCCACGTCCTGCGTCATCGTATCGAGAATCGAGCGCGCTCGCGCCGAGCCAAAGTGGCTCAGTTGGCACCGATACCGGCTGTCGAGAAGGACACTCCGCGCGCGCACGTCCCGATGAATCACACTGGGCGACTGCGCGTGGAGGTACGCCAGCGCCCGTGCAAGCCCGAGTGCGAGTCCAACCTTGCGCTCAAACCAGCTCCACGCGTCGTCCTGGAGGCTGTGGGTGGCGAGGACGCTTTGGAGGTCGCCGTGCGCGCAATAGGCAAACACGCCGGCGACACCACTTGGCGGCAAGACGACACCGACGACGCGCACGATGTTGGGGTGCGAGAAGCGTGCGAGGCCCTTGAGCTCGTCGTAGAGCGCGGATGCGCTGCTCTCGACGTCGGTGACGTGCGGCGCGAGCTTCTTGATAGCAACGTGCGTGTCTTCAAACGCGCCGAGCCAGACCTCGTAGACGCGGTCGTTTGAGCGCGCGAGGAGCCGCGTCGGAACGACAAATGCGCTCGGAAGGCCAAGCTCGTGGAGCTCGCTGTCTGCTGTGTACTTGGTGGCGAGGGCCGTCATGGCCGGGTCCACAACCCGTTTGAGCGACGACACGAGCCCTGGCCGGACCGATGACGTGGCATGCGTGGAGGAGGCTTTCGTCTTGGGACCGGGAAAGTACGTCGTATCTTGGTCGTCGTCGTCAGCAACGCGCTCCATGGGACGCGTGGCTTCGGGCCGCGGCGCGCGCTTGCAGCGCCAGAGCACAAGCAAAATACCGAGGATGGCAACGACGCCGGCCACCGCGATGAGCGCAATCACCGACGGGGAGAGGAGCGAAGGCGCTGCAAAGTACGCCATGAGGGCTCCAGAGACAGCGACACGTCTCAACGTACATGTGGCTGCGGTCAGCGCCGAATCCTTGTCGGACGCGGTGCACGACGCAGCGGCGAGGGCCGACGTGCTCGTAAACGAAGTCACGAGGCTGCCGCCGCAGAGATGCACGTCGACGGTAAATGTATTGAGGCGCGCAAAGAAGGTTGTTGTCGCTGGCGCCTGGAGCTCTTGCAAGCTCAGCGGGTTCTTGGACAAGTTCCTAGCGGTGGCGCTCGTCAGAAAGATCGACGAGCCAACTGCATTCGTACAGAGCGCGGAGGCGCGGAAGCTCGGTGGAAATCGCTGCGGGCAGAATGTGAAACTGGTTGTCACTCAGATCGCTAGGACAAGACGACATTGAGTGACGAGCAAGCCGTCATTCCTAGTACAGGGCGGTGAGGTTGACGAGCGCGTCGGTGACGGGCCAGGTCGTCAGGTTGCACTTGATCAGCTCGCTGCAAGTGCAAACATGAGGTCCTTAACACGAGTCGAAGTGGTATTTACAGTGATTGCAGCGTCGTTGGCAGCTGCTTTGACGGAAACATTGGGACCGCGAGGGTCGAGAGCGTACTAAGTAGTAGGTTCAAATGGCAGCTTGGACGAGTAGCCAATGGCACGCACAGATGGGTGAGTGCTGTTGAGCGCGCGAGGAAGCTATTCGCAAAGACCATGGGCCGTGGCGTGCTGCCCTGGCCGCGCAAGGCCCTACGGCCGCCATCGTGAGGTCAATCAGGCAATCAGACTCGTACAAAGACGTGAGCGGCCCCAGCTCCAAGGCGCCGACAGCGCCGACGTTGGCCACGGGCGTCTCCGAGCTCGGCTCGCTCCCGAGCGCAAGCGTCAGCGACGTGCCAGTAACGTTGAAGCATTGATAGTACGTTGTCCGCGACGACCGCTGACAGGGCGCCATGGTGGACGCGGCCGGGCAGTCCGTGGCGGCCGACTCGCCCAGGTACAAGGCGCAGAGACCTTGGAAGGCTTCGCCGCAGGTCGCTACGCAGCTCGTCGAGAGCGTGCTGCTGCTAGGCATGGAAGAAGGCGACGTATAAGCGCGAGCAGCGCAGGCGTCGGCGAGATGGCACTGCTTACACTGCCAACGCCATCGCATGTGTCACGACTTGGCCGGGACCGCTGATTGGCTTCGTTACAACCAATAAGACTGAATCTCGTTCCAATCGACTTCGAACTTCGGGCTAGAGCAGGCCAATATCTCTCGTTTTGTATGGACACGTGCAGGCCGAAAAAGATACCGTAGGATCTACTTCGGATTCAACTTCGATTTGCCGCCACGACGAGATTTTTGTCGCCCAGTTGGTTGCTCTTGGCGATGGACAGGACTTTTTGGCATCGCACAGTATGCAGTTCTTCGTTAGTCGACTAACTTTTATTCACGCCACGTAGCCACGGCTCTATCGCAGCATCCAGCATGTGGCTCTCGCCGCAACGACGACGACGATTCTGCATGTACCGGTAGATACTGGTGCACACTTGCTGACGTTTGCCAACATATTCGGCTGGCTACTTTCGCTGACAACGTGCTGTCCATTCTGTCTGTCCATTGTGTCCTTTCACAACTGTTGAGGGTAACAGGGCCCCATTTCTTGGAAAATGTGTAAGCTTACGTTGAATAGCCACTTCAGTCGGCTCTGAGCTGCGATCGTCGAACCGGCCCTGGTGGCAGCCCGTCGCTGCGAATTGCAACTGACAAAAGCGCCACGATTGTCGATGCTTTGGTCGAGAGCTCTCATTTCAAGGCATTGCTGAGGCCTGCCGATTGTCAAACCCTCTGCAGACAAGACATTTCTATCACTTCGTCGTTACTACAGTAGTAGTAGACAATAAGACTACGTTGACGAGTAGTGTGTTAAGATAAATAGAAAGAAACGTAGACGGCTTCTAGTAGGCCGAGCGAGCATCGTCGGCGATCGTCGTCGCCCAGAGGTATTGCTGCTGAAAGGCATCGCTCGCAATGTCCAGTGTTTTGCACGTCTGCACGAGCGGCTTTGTGGCACCGCGCTTCGCAATCAATCGGACTTCGCGCGGTCGGCTCGGCGCCTTCTGAGCCATCTCGGGTGCCCAATGCTCAAAGTCAGTGAGGTCGTCGAGGACGCGGGCTGGGTCGTTTCGGAGAAGGCGGTATGCGTCCGGCGCGGCGTGTGCCTCCTTGGCCACGTACACGGTCACACTCGCGTCTTGGCCGTACATGTCCTTGAGGAACTTGTCCCACATGCCGACTTGGCTGGCGCCCGCGAGCGAGAGAAACCCAGTCGAGTACGACACGTACTGCAGCGACTTCCAGCCGTCGGTCGCGAGAAGGTACGAAACTTGGTGGCGCGTCATTTCATGGGAGAGGTAGTCATCCGAGGCACTTTTGGGCGAGTGGAAGTAATCTTCCACGACCATCGAGTCGAGTTGGAGAGCTGGAAAAAAATTGATTGCGTCGGCCGGGTGCGCAAAGGCTTGTGTGTCGGGGTTGAGCGGCAGGAGGTACCCGATCATGCGAACGTTCTTGAGCTGACGCATCAGTCGCTGCGGAAGACGGGACATCGTGTCGAGAAAAGCCTGCGTCGTGGCAAAGTCCATCGCAAGCTCTGTGAGCTCCATCGCCTGGACATCGTCGTACATAGCGCGACACGTCCCCACCCACGCGAGCGGGTTCGTCGACGACGAGGCGGATGGCCGAAAGCCGAGGCGGGCGCTGAGGAGGAAGCCGTAGATGTGGCCGCGAACGTCCGTCGGCAGCGACAGCAGCGATGGTGGTTGCAGGAGGTGCATGGGAGAATAGAAAGTGCAACAGCAAACTCAACCGGACTGCTTGTCAACCCGGCACACTCGAATTGAGACGCGTCTTTTTGCGTCCGGTCGCGTTGGGAGGTGGCATCTGCCACAACGAATGAGCTGGTGAACGCGCCCGCGCAATCGAAATTCCACGACCGTTCGTGTCGCATGCGACCCTGCACACGTCATTTCTTTCAGCACAAGTCGTCCTGAATTGCAAAGGATTGTGCGCCGAGGCTGCTTGCCCGCTATATTCGGCAAATGCCGAATATCGCAGTGCGATTTCATTCGTTTTTGCGCACGCGATTCGCGGGTTGTGATTGGTGCAATCGCGATCTTGGACAGGCGTTCTGTCGACGTCAACAGGGCAGCGCGCGTCTACGCCCGCCTGCCTCGTGCTTAGCCCTCTACGTAACGTTGACGTAAGCACCAAATCAACACGAGCCTTCGAGTTCGACGAGAAGTCGAGTGGCCGATGCAACCCCGTGGTGCGGGCACGTTGTAACGTGGTGATGACACCGCCGTGCCACGTCAGAGGTGCGGATTGTCGACCATTTGTTGTATTCCTCACTGAATTTGAGGATTGCTTTAGTTGTTTTACATGTGGTTTACGTTAAAATCCGAGATACTCGCCGGCGACGAGTCTACTGTAGAGGCCCGCCATGACTTTGGCTGCGCCTATTTGATGCGCAAGAAGATGCTACTCTACCGCCACCTATACGCTGGCACGCTGGTGACGTAGCGCCATAGCTCCCACAGCACCATGAAATGCTAAACGTCGGCGCCTCGCCTCTCGTCGACATCCCGTATTCCCAGAACGAAACACTACAGCAAGTACTTTGCCCCAGGCAGCCCAAAATCGAGCAGCGTCTCTAGCGTGCAATCGAAGTTTTCTCGATAGCACTGGCCAAATTGTCCAAATAGCATGTGTACAATTCTGTCATTGTTTCATGTAGCTCGGGTGCACAATCTCGAGTGCCGCTGTGCGGCCTTTATATAGAAGCGAAACGAACGCGCCCATGTCGCTCAAGAAGCGGCGATATGTGGGCAACGCGAACTCTAAGAAGCGGCAGGAGGTCGAGGGCACGTTCGGGTCCCAGCTGCATTGTCGTCGGGCGGCTGGCCATCCGCAGCAGACATTACCGAGCCCGGAACGCCCGCCCCCGCTGCTTCGGCCCTCGCCCCCCGGGGCTGTGAATTCCACCCCGCCGCCGCAGCGCATCCAAGCTAGGTGTTTGACGAATGGCCGTGGACTAACACGGAAGCCATAGGACCTCCTTGTACAAAACATTCTGCGACACCAGCACGAAACTAAGAACTTCAAGACGGAGAGCTGGTACGGGTCTCCGGCGGGCTACGGGGCCATTTCGAATGCCATCATCGCCGCGCTGTCCATCAAGGACAATGCGCGCACGGGCTATGTGAGCGTCGACGACATTGTCGATACGTTTACCAAGATGAACTTTGGTAAGTCATTTCCACCGTTCTCATGCGATGGTCACGTCGCATCCGTAGGGCTCAAGGAAGACCAAGTTCGACAACTCTTTCGTGAAGTTGACAATAACGCCGAACAAGTACACTACAAGTCGTTTGCCAAGTAAGTCATACTACCTTCGTGCGACATATAGCCATGATGCATTTTCTCTCCAACTAGGCAATTTGACTTGCCACCGACAGTTAGTGAAGACCCCATTGCACGGCACGAACGGACTGTGGCGCTGCTCCAAGAGCGATTAAAGGAGCCGTCGCGCGTGCCAATTCCCAGTTCGATGAGCCGACGAAAGAAGCCGCCGACTGCGTGCGTCCTCGAGGAGATAACGCCGGCACCGCCGACACTGCCACGCATCACCGTCACGACCACGGTCACAGAGGGCAACACACTTGAAAAAGCTGCGTTCAACATCAACCATTTGGCACACGAGGGCACGCTGCCGTCCCCGACGCGCTACTCGGCCAAGCTCGCCGACGGTGTCATTCCGCAGACAGCAACGACCCTCGTGCTTGGCGGCGACATGCGCAACACGCCCAAGAGCCTTCGCCGCGCGCGCCTCTTGCCCCAAGTGGTCGATCAAAGCCGCAAAGAAGGTCGCCGAAAAGCCAAAAGGGAAATCCTCACGGTAATCGACGGCTTGACGAGTCGCAACTGGAGCTATGAAGTAGAACCACCTGGAGCGCATTGACACATATGCGGCGGCCAAAGACTATGAGACAAAGCTGTACGAAGAGAACCATCTCAAAGCGACCACGGCCAAGCACCTCGCTTACAACCAAGCCTTTCTCGAACAAGTACGCTTCTCGTTCAAGCGAGGTGACACGAGTGTTGTGCTCTGTACGATAGGCACTGCAGCGCGCCAACAAGGTCGAGCGAAAAGGGCTCCTCGACTCGGCAATATCGGAGCGCAACCACAACGTGAGCATGCAGTCCATGTTTTTCCAGCCAGACGCACCGAGATAATCGTGTCCATAGAGTAATACCCTAACACGATGGAGAGCTATCGTCTGGTGCCTTGATGTATTGAGGTATTTGAAAGGCTAGTATGCCAATATGCCCTTGGTGGTCGGCTAAACCACTAAATATATTTAATACACGGTATCGACAACAACTACGTTTTTTGGTTTCTTGGACCATGAGCCAGGCGACTATGGTTTGATTCGCGCGGAAATGTGTTGATTCTTGCGACTTTGTGTCGGTTGGATGCCTACTGATGATGAACGCACGTCACTGCCTGCAGCAGAACCCGCCGTTTCACTCGTGAATGAAGGCATTTTCATACCGCCGACCCCAATATTATTTAAATATGTTACATTTTAATACATGCGGGTCCGACATTGACCGACGTCACATACAAACCCAGAGTCTGCAGCTCGACTTTTTAAAACCACCTGTCGTCGATCGTGAACGCACCTGTCATTTTATTGGGCGACCGTTTCAAACCTCTATAAACACATATCTCATTGTATCGAATATAGCAGGGAAAGAACGCAACCCGGCGACATTTTTTGCTGGTGGCGAAGCTACATACAAAAAGCAAATGAAGGGTCGGTCGGTGGGAATATTAATTTCGTTCGAAATTTTATGCCAATGAAATCGCAGCCGCGCAGAAATCTAATTTGCCGACGACATGAGGCGCGCGGCCGTCGCCTTCGCCGCCACCGTGGCCATGACCATGCATGGCGCTGGCGCCGTCGAGGCCATCGCGTGCTCCAGCTGCGTCTCCATGACGGAGGCTCTGACCTTCTGCGGAAGCCTCCGGAGCTCATACCCGGTGTGTGCCATGCAAGGCAAGAGCCTCGAGCAGCAAGACGCGATGGCAGCTGCCACCTTTGCCTTCCTCAACGCCACGCTGCGCGAGCCGATGGGCGCCGACGCATCTACATGTAGCGCGTCGCTGAAAGAGATCGCGTGCGCCAAGGCGTTTCCAGCCTGTGAACTCACCCAAGCGCGCCCGCTGTGCGCCACGGCGTGCCAAGCCAGCCTCAAGGCCAACTGCTCGAGCGTCGCGGCCATGCTCAAGCCCGCCGCCGAGACAACTTGCGGCAAGATCGACCAAGACAAGTGCATCACCTTTGCGTACGCGGGGCCGAACCGTGGCGCGTGGATCGCCGGCTTTGTCATCTCGGTCGTCTTCTCGTTCCTCGCAAGCGTCGGTATCAACTTGCAAAAGAAGGCGCTCAAGCAAAACGAGCTCAAGGCGCAGGAAAGTAACACGGCGCCGCTCTCACCGTTCCGCCTCCCGCTCTGGACGCTCGGGTTTGTCTTGATCCTGATCGGGTCACTCTTGGACTTTGTTGCGTTTGGCCTCGCGCCACAGAGCCTTTTGGCGCCGCTCGCTGCGTTGACGCTCGTCTGGAACATGGTAGCTTCTCGCATCCACGTCCATAGGCTATAGCTCCGTGCCTTGATTAGCTCCTCGCGCCATGCTTCAACAAGGAGCGGCTTTCACGCAAGGACATTTGGGCGACGCTCATCATCTTTCTTGGTGCGACGCTTGCGGTCGTCTTTGCCTCGCACAACTCGCCGTCGTATACGCTCGACGACCTCAAGCTGCTGTACGACAACACGTACACCAGTAGGCGCGTCTCACATCACGTCGTGCTCACACAATGCGCTAGTTGTCTATTTTGTGATTGTCGTGCTGCTCATATTACTGCACTACGCCATGATCAAGTTTGTCGAGCACCTCAACCTCGCATCGAGCCGCCACCGCATGATCAACGTCGGACAACCCGCCATGTGGTCGACCGTGCGCCTCGTTGCCTACTCGGGGTACGTGCTTCTAGTTGGTCGATCGTACAAACATGGGTGTAGCATGGGCGGGCTCATGGGCGGGCAGTCGGTGCTCTTCGCCAAGTCGACAGCTGAGCTCGTCAAGTCGTTCATCAACGGCGGCGACTGCTTTACGCACCCCGAGACGTACGCGATCATTGTCGCGCTGGGCTTTTGCCTCGTTTTGCAAATGCATTTTCTCAACGGCGGTCTTGTCAACTACGACGCGCTCTCCGTCGTCCCGATCTACCAAGTACGTCGGACGAGAGTATCGACTCGATGGCGAGCGTCGCGTAGGCGTACTGGATCATTAGCGGTGTCATGGGCGGCGCCGTGTACTTTGAAGAGATTCGGTCGTTCAGCGAGTTTCAAGCCAGCATGTTTGTGCTGGGCATATTGACGACAATCGGGGGCGTCGCGCTCTTGGCGCAGCGGTCGCTAAGCGCGCCGCCACCGACGCTCAAGAAACGCCGCAGCCTCGCGACCTCCCAGCGCAACATGAGCTCATATTGGCACAACCCCAAGCCCGTGCCAGGTCAGACCGAGCCGACGATCGCCGAGGAAGAGGGCGACGGAAGCAACAGTGACGAGGCGACGTCGGCCGTGACCACCGCGCCAGACGACGCAACTACATTACCTGGCGACAGGACCGCGGTGGCGCAAGACGACGACGAGACGGACGACGAGACGGTGAACCGCCAAGCCATCGACAACTTTCTCAACATGTCGCCGATGGGAACGCTCCTCATGGGCTACAGCAGCCAGCGCAACCTCGGCATTTTCTTGCGGCGAGAGTCGAGCAACCCGATGGCGACGCGGGATGACATTGAGATTGGCCTCCCGCCGACGAGCTTGGGCGACGACGGCGAGGCCAAGAAGCCCAAAAGGCGGTCCATTACCTTTGCGGGCTTCAAGTCCACTGCCAAGAGCACCCTCGAGTAGTCAGACGACTCTAGTTTCCTTCCAACTATGTATTTCAGCCGTACGCCTCGCCACTACGTTTGAAATAGTACTATCGCAAAAGGACAGTACTGGCGCGTTCGTTCGTAGCCGCCATAGATCGGAATGTGAAGGCAAATAATAAGTTAGGAGGATGGGGTCGTAGGTCCTAAGCGGCTGTCCAGCGGGGGTTCAACGGCGGACGTGCCGTCGCTGGGCGGGTGGTCGCCCCGTAAATCGGCCAACTGCGCCTGGAGCTGCCCGAGCGTGTGCTGGATCTTTGTGTTTTGGTGGGCTAGCTGCACGATCATGCCCTGTAGCGCCTTGATCTGCTCGTCGTTGGCGGCCCCATACGCGTACGTCAAGTGATTCTCGCTGCTGCCGCCTGGGTTCATACCCGAGAGCAAGTTGGCCGACGTGATCTGGTTCACGAGGTGGTCCTTGGCGCTGCTCATGACGCTCGACCCTTTCTTGAGCGATTGCACGCCCGACTGGATGAGCTGGTTCTTTGTGAGCTGCGATCCAACGCGCGTGAGCGTCTCTTGCGTCGAGAGAAGGGGCTTGAGCACCATGTTTTGCACCATGGAGAGGCGCGTCGACGGCGCTGCGGTGACGACGGCAGCAGCATTGGGCTTGTGCGACTTGGCCTTGGCGTCCAGCGCCGCGCGCACCCCAAACCAGTTGGCGAGGAGTCGAATCATGCTGTTGGAGGCCGACCAGACGTAGCTCACGGTCTCAAACACGAGGCTAACGCGGTCCCACTCGGTCTTCTCCTTCCCTTTCCAGTACGCGTCTTGCATGATGGCTACGCAGTAATTTACATATCAGACACATTGTCCACATGAGACACTTTCGGCCCACCAATCAGAATCGTCAAAATCACAAACACAGCGGTGAGCGTAAACGCCGCCAAAAAGAGCGGCGCCGCCACGGGGTTGGCCGCCGAGAGCGCGGCATAGTCGATGTCGCCGACAAGCGACCGCAGAAGCGACGCGTATGCGGTCGGGACGGTGCGAAAGTCGGCCGCCGCGGACCCAAAGACCAGCACAAACGCAGCGGCATACGCATACACGAGCAGTCCAAAGGCGAGGAAAAAGCCGGCAACTTCCGCGACGGACGCCACGAAAATATGCACGATGAGAGCGACGTGCGGGATGATGTCGAGCAAGAGAATGAGCCGAAGAAAGCTGAGGAACGCCGTCGCCGCCGCAAAGCCGTCGCTGAGCTGGTTGAACGTCGCGTACGGCGCAAAGCTGCTGAAGGCATCACTCTGGAGCAGCGTCGACGGAATGTCGAGACCCATCGACATCCGAAGCAGCCACATGACAAGGTAGCACAAGATGTTGGCGGCGTCGACCCACGGGCCGAGACACCGAAACGCCGGCCACCCTTCGCGCCGGCCCATGTACACGAGGCGCGCGATCAAGTACGCGTAAAAGAGCCCGAGAAGCGCGATCGACCACTGCGTCTCGAAATCGAACGAGCCATTGACGTACGGTGCGAGCTGCACACTGGACGACGGCAAGACCCCCCCGGACGGGGGGAACTCGAGGAGGAAGCGCAGCACGACGAGGCGGCGAAGCATGATGTTGGCGACGTTGATTTCGACGAGGATCGCCCGTGTTGCCGCATCGATATACCCGTACGCTTGCAGATTCGAGACGCGCAAGGAAGCGATGGATGCACTCGACTGCGGTAACAGCTGCACAAAGCCCGGGCACGGGTAACTGGCGGTTGACATTTCGGATGCGATGCTTGAAAAGAACTTTGTCCGACAGCTCGCGACGTTGACCGCATGGTCGTAGCTAAAGTCCGACCCGTTGTTGCTGCCGAAGGCCGACGTCGACTCGACATCCGTGCTGAAGAGCCCCGCGGCTGTCGTGCCGTAGCAGTAGTAGGTCTACACATAGTCATGAGTCCAGTTCCATATTCGATCGCTTAAGACGAGCTACCGAAGTGTCCGTGGTGACGCCAGTGGGGAGGACGCTCGTGCAGTCTTGACGGTTGACGCGCAGCGTCCCAATACTCGCCGCGCCGACGAGCTGGCCTGTCCCACCCAGCACCGCGCCCGTATTCAGATTGGCGTTGCTATTGCTGTAGAGACCAGAGAGGAGCGGTCCTTGCAGCCAAGCGTGGACGTGGTCCGTCGATCGGATCTCATGGAACCTCATGGGCGTCGCACTGCCTCGCACCGTGAAGAGAGCGTCTTCAAAGAGGCCTGCGACAACGAAGGAGGTCACGCGAGTTACGCAAGCTCCACGTACCGCGAAGATTCCGCGCAAAATAGTACGGACTCGCGTCTTTGTACGGCAGCAGCGTTGCGGTGCAAAAGATATAGAGGTAGACGCAGTAGATCAAGATGTCTCGGATGCGCGCCTGCACCCGCTTCCTTCGCTGCGTCTCGTGCAGCTCTCGGAGTTGCTCGGGGGACTACCATTTCATGAGGCATGAGGGAGCGTCCCGAGCGTACCCATTTGCTCTTGATGCGCGCTTGCAGACGGCGCATGCGCCACCTACACGACCGATCAAGACGTGGCTGGAACGATCAAGGTACCATTTGACAATGGCCGAGATCGCGAGCGCCGTCTCTTCTTCGATGAACTCTTTGTTGTGCCGGAGCCGGTCGTCGCGCTCGTTGGCGTCGTCGTCGTCGGCGGTCGCGGCGCCCGGATGGACCTTGTACGTCGGCGCGGCGTTGCTTCGTAGGCGCGCGGTCGATGTCATGCGCCTACTGCATTGCCCAATAGCGGTTGCCGCAAAAACGACACCCGAAAATAGGACCACCGAGTTATTCTTATCCGGACCAACCTTTCTACGACGACCTTGCAATGACGCCGACGACGGTACGGCTAGTAGTTGCATCGGCCTCGATGCATATTGCGTAGCGCCCTCGCTCGACCCACAGCTATTTGCAGGTACCAATGCGGTTGTGTCCGATGCACACGTCGCTCACGGTGGCTGCAATGATGGTAATGATGACGGCGGCGCGTAGGCATGGGAGCGCCAAATGCACGGCATTGCTCTCGAGCGCGCCTTGCTGGAAGCCCCGATAGCGTCGGCTTCCGCTGTACCCAATTCTACGTGTCATTGGACTCGTTCACGGACGGTATCCTGCCATGTTGCGTAGCGCCTCTGGTCGGCGCAAGTCCGCGCGGAAGCGGCCCAGCTCATGCTCGACACTGAAGTCGCCTTGGCGCACCAAGAGCACTATGCAGCGCTTCGCAAAGCCAAGCGCATCGCCCGACGTCGGTCGCAATACGATTGAAAGACTCTTATTTGGATGTATGTCTTACCTAATCACTGGATGGTCGACGGTGAAAACGAAACGTTTGTGGCGCTTCGCTGCCCAATCAAACGCAAGCACACGTATCTTGAAAAGCCATGGCCGCCGAGTTCGACCTCCTTGCGGCGTGGGGCATTGCGATACCGTCGCCGCGGTCGTCCAGCGTACGTGCGAATCGATGTGCAGAGTTCAGAGTCGTACATGCCTCAATATGTTCTAGTCGATGGCCACTTCGAAGGAGGGATACCGGATCATTCGGCCCACGCTGCGACCGCCTCTGCCCTCGAGTGTATGGCGCGATGTCGAAGCTGTCGCTCCGACGCCCCACGTACCACCGGCAACGCGCCACTGTGCGCGGCTGCGACGGACGGGGCTTTGCAAGCGGCCCGACTCGATGAAGGACATCGTCGAGCAAGCTATTGTCTGCCAAAACACATACGACACCGAGCCCGAGACAACGACGATCCGCGACAGTCTGCGCGTCGTGCGCGATCGGACGCTGCACAAAGCCACCACTGTAGACATTAACATCGCGCTATTTGATCTGACCGATTTTATATAGACGACGACGTTGGCAGAGCGATTGGTCATCGAGGACCCCGAGTGCGCGCTCAAGCGACGCGTCCGCATGCAGCCGCCGTGGCCCAAAGCGTTGGTCTTTTCATTTGCGACTCGCAATTTTATGTGATGTACAATTGCTAGATACCTTCATGCGTACTTGAGTGGCTCAGCGGCGGTGCCGGCCGTAAGGCACCTCGACGACGATGTGTCATGGACAGTTCAACGATGCGCTAGGAGCCCCGAGGCCCGCGTTCGACCGTGTCGGCAACACCACCAGCGCCGTTGGGCCGACCCCGGTCGCTCGAAGCTGTCGCATCGGTGCGCACTCGCCTCCACTTTAGGGTTCACCTCCAGTCTGCGTAGTCGTCGAGTTCGGTGTGCTCGCAGTCGCATGAGGTACTGCTCGATGGCGTCGTCTTGATGCATTGCATTCATTTGTGCGCTGCAGACGACAACACCGTTGGCGTCTCGGGTGGCCAAGACCAAGGAGGTAGTATCAACTCGATACCTTGATACGATCGATTGCTCGCTAGATGCTCAAGGTTTCGCGCATGCTGGCAAAAGAGCGTCTCGCATGTTAGCACACTTGGCAACTCGCGTTTGAAGAGACGTTTTCCCGTAGGAATTGGAAAAGACTTGCATATTAAACGGGGTAAACGCAAGTTTTCGTTTGTACGAGTCCTGTTTTCTAGCTTTTCATGTCGAAAATGTATCCTTTTGTGAATAAGTTCAATGTATTTCCTTGAGCTCCAGCACAAGCGCGTACAAAGTAGATTTTCGATCCAAGCCAGGTCCATCTGCTCGCGAGATTGTCGCCAGTCTGTTGAGAAACGAGACTTCTCGCGACTACATGAGAACCGTGACAGCAGTCAACGTCCAATAACGTAGCATGCCCACTTCATGGAGTCGAGTATGTCGCCTTCACGCGTGCAATCCGAAACCAAAGAGAAGACATCCAGAGGTCGCGAAGAAGTTTTGTGCATCGAATATAGCAATAAATTGCCAGCAAATGCAGGCAAAAAGGCCCGAAAAGGGTAAAAAGGGTAAAAAATGGTAAAAAGGGTAAAAAAGGTAAGAAAAGGTAAAAGACTATTGATATGCGATGCGAGACTTGACCAAAGTGAACATTGAAAGTCGATGCGTTGCAGTAGTTCATGCATGTATATTCTCGATCTTCCAGCGGACACGCCTTCCGAAAGATCTCGTGTTTTTCTACGTGTACCACCAATTTTCGGAAATCTAGTCACGTTTGGATTTGATCGGACTCGGTGACATGGCCACAATGGAGAGCGCCAGCGCATGGAGCGGCAAGTAGACCACGCACGCGTACGGCAGCGCAATCGACCCGTAGTGCACGTAGCCATGCACAAAGTACGCCATCGTGTCCAGCACTAGAAACCAGTTCCAGACCCAGATCCAGATCCAGATATCAGGAGGACGTACGCTGCGGCTGGAACGAATGCAGCACGAGTGCGAGCAAGAGAGGACTAGCCCATTGCGTCAAAGAAAAGCATGCATGCATACCGTGTACCTCGAGAGGAAGAAGAGCGTCGCGCGGAGGACGCGGCCAACACCCGACTGCGGCGCTGCGGCGGGCACCGCCGACGCCAGCAAGACGGTCATGGGCACAACCACGGCGATGGCAAAGGCGTAGTTAATGATGCCCACCACACAGTGCAAGAGGCTACCGATAGATATTCCATGAGGTTGCCTTCTCAAACAAAAACAGAGTACATGGCAACGATGCACGCAAGGACTTTGAGCGCTTTCCAGCCGTGCACGTCGTGCGCCAAGTCGTCCAACGGCGGCTACGCAAAATGAACCGAATTCATGCCACAGGAACATGTAGAAGCAATGCACCTCGTCCGCGTCTCCATCCGCGTCCGGGTCGACAGGTAGCGTGGCCTTGTACGCACGGCGTTGGTCGTCGATCTTCTCGAGCCAGTCGGCTTCGTCCGGGTTGCCCTGCGTGAGCGCGTGGCGCTGTAGAAGCGGGAGCACGCCAAAGACTAGGAGCAGCTCGACGCCCGAGGCAGCCGCGAGAAGGGTCCAGCCATACGTCCGGCTCATCGTCGTCGTCGCTTGGCTCTGGGCAAGGACGCCGTCGAGGCATTCGAGATGCGTCGCCAATAGAAAGACCATGGCGCCCAAGGCCTCGGCCACAAGAAAGAGGGCAAGTGCGAACGCGGTGCGCAGTCCCGCCTAGTAGTTAGTCGTAGAACTCGTTCAAAAATGCAAAATAGTTCGAACCGTGTGGCCGATGAGGTACAAAACGTGGGCAAAGAGCGGCAAGAGCACAAGGACGAGAACGTAGTAGTACTCGCCGATCGACACAAAGAGGCGCGGGCTCACGAGAAGGTAGTAGTAGAACGACTGGTGCAGCTTTTCTTCAACGTTGCTCATGGCACGGACGGTCGTCTCGATCGCCCGGAGCCAGCCAAGGAGCGAGAGCGGCGTCGTCGCATCCGCCGCCTGCACCGCGGCGAGCGTGATCGCGTCAATGTTGTACCGGATAAAGTTGGCGTGCGGTCCCGACGGCCCCATCGCGAGCGTCTGAATGAACCGAAGCAAGTGGTAGAGCCCGTCAAAGTACGACGAGAGGGCCGGCGACGCGCCAACCTGCAGCACGACAAAGCGGCGCACGGCCCGGAGCATCGACGACAGCGCGTCACCATCGCAGTCCAAGCGCGCATCCGCACAGCTAGACCAACGATCATCACATGCTGTTAGAGCAAGCACGCGTACCGGTCCATGGCCACTGGAATGCGCTCGCTTTCGAGGGCTTCGACCGCCGAGTTGATCAAATCCAAGTTGGGCAGCTGGCCGTTCACGCCGGCGCCAAGAACCGCCACCTACGACGACAGATGCATCCGTGACGAGCGGCGAGAGAACGAAAGACGCACCGTGTTGTGTCGATGCGCGTCACCGCTCGTCTCGAGGTTGATGGCGGCGCGGATGACGCCGGCGTGCATGTCCAGCGCGGCGTTTGAGCTTGCAAATGGATCGTTGTGATAGGCGTTGAGCCAGGCTTCGACGGCGGGCGAGTGGCCGTGGCGACCGTCGTCCGGGCCGTCTAGTATACCGCGTCAAAACGACGGCAAAACGCATCAGATCACCGTCGGTAAGGAGCAGAATGATGTCCTTGGCAAGCCACTTGGCGCTGCCAAGGTGGCGCAGCATGGCGAGGCCGACGCTGAGCGCCGAGTACCCATTCTTGCTCGTGGACGGAATGTTGGGGTACTGCGCCACGAGCCTGTATACCCATGAGTGTGCATGTCGTTGAATCGAAATGGAGAACGCACACGATCGACTCTTTCCCGTCGGCGAGCGGCGATGCGCGGAGGATCGCAAAGAGGTTGGTCCGGTTCACATACTCGTCGTGGTCGTAGAGCTGCTCGGCGTACGTTTGCCGGTCGAACTCGACGCCTGGCATCGCCTGCAGCTGCGCTTCGATCCACGTGATGACGTGGGCGCACGAGTTGTCGTGCGCGCAACCATTGTCACCGGCCGCGTCGAGCTTGATGTACTCGCGATGATATGCTTTCGCCCACGCCGCCTGCATCCAGTGGCGACCGTGAGCCAAAAGCCATTCGGCTCAAGCTACCTGTGTGTCATCCATGGTCGATGTCACCGTGTCCACGAGGAGCGCGTTCTCCGAGAAGTACGTCTGGCGACACTTGAGCTCGCCGGTCGTGACGGTTGCGATCGGGTGCAAGAGCAGCCAGGTCGCGCCCAAGAGAAGGCCGATCCAGGCCACGCTTAGCGCCTTCGCCTGCACGCGGCCATGGTAGTACAGGTGCTCGAGCAGGCGCCGCTTCGGCGGCCCCACCGTCGTCACCTCGGTTGCGGTCATAAAATCTTGCTGCTACGCGTCAGATGCCGGTTAACATCCGGATGATGTGTCTCTCACACTATATCGGTACTTTGTCTGGTGGTGCGCGGTGCTGCTCGTCCACAGATTAAAACTCGTCGCTCGCAACGGACACGCCAAGCAACCACCTAAAGATATGCATCAACTGCACGCACATTGCGCGACAAGCGTCTTTGCTCGACAGGACGCCACAGCTCACTTTACACTATTTATTTCGTCATACTATTTACAAGACGAATTCCCTTGTCCAAGTACATTGTCATGGCTTTTTTATGACATGGCATGCCGTTGCACTTGGCATTTGTATGGATATTTAAATATTTCACAATAAATAACATGTGAAATAATATTCCGCTGCGTTGCTGGCAACAAGCGAAAAGAATGGCGTTGGCACAACGAGCGGATGCGGAGATGGCGGCCTACCGCGCGCTCCAGGAAGAGGTCCGTTGCCGCTGTTCGCGCCATCTCATAGTTACTGTGGCTAGGTGACGGTGCTGGCCAACCAGCGCCAGCTCTACGCGCAGCAGCAGAACGAGAACAGCATGGTCAAGCAGGAGCTGGACCTGCTCGCGGACAACGCCAAGGTCTTCAAGCTCGTGGGCCCTGTCTTGCTCAAGCAGGACACGTCGGAGGCCAAGTCCAACGTCGCGAAGCGCCTTGAGTTCATCCAGAACGAGATGGAGAAGGTCGAGAAGAAGCTCCAGGCCAAGGAAGACGAAGCCGTCAAGATCCGCCAGAACATTGCCGCGATCCAGATGCAGATGCAGAAGAACGCGGCCGAGGGCGCCGGCGCCGCTGCCGCCCAAGCCTCGCGATAAACGTATTGTGCTAGCACTTTGGGCCAAGGCTCCTCAACCACTTTTGATACACGTCTTCGACCCAACCAGCGCCTATCGTGCTGAACCAAGTACATACACGTGCATTCAATTGAGTTCAGCGACAAAAGAAACAGCTAGGAGCCAAGCATAAGCTTGACGAGGTCGTCGCAGAGGTGCGCAGCATCCTGAAGCTCAAACTCAAACTGGATCGGGGCGTCGCCCTTGTGACCGACGTAGGCGAGCCGCCCGGCGTATATGTACGAGCCCTACAGCCACATCAATCTGTCTTGATTGGTCTCAGCCAAGAATCCTCGTACCTCGGGGTGGAAGCGAAAGAAGAGAAGGGTCGGTTTGGTGTGCGTCTGGAGCTCGCTCGTGGCGTCGGCTTGGACGCCGTGGATGAGCTGCTGGGCGACGACGTGGTTCGTATGGATCGATTTCTAGCGCATAGGGTCGTCCGCTGCCATATATGGACCAACACGAGACCACAACGTACCCGCGCGAACCACGTGACCGTAATGGCGTTGGTCGTCTCGTTCTTGGCAAAGATGTTGACGTAGCTAAATGCCATACCACAGTAGTGCCAAACACATAGCATCCATGGGGCTGCGTACCGATCGTCCATGTCGACGTTCATAAAGAGCACCATGCCGTTCAGCAGCACTTGATGGCCGTCCATGAGCGAGAACGTGGGCGTGTACCCAGGACAGAGCCACGCGAGCAGCGGCTTCTTCCCGCGCGGTGCGAGCGCGCACCCCACATGCTTGTCGTCCGGAAGCGTCAGCGCCACTTCCTTTACCGACTTGGTCTGGCCCTTGCTCGGGATGATCATGTCTAGCACGGGCACGTTCTGGAGCACGTCGTCGGCCTAGACCATGCACGCCTTGAGCGTGTTACGAGTTACGTGCTAGTAGTTTACAGGCGGCAGCTTCCGGCGCTTGGTCGGAACATACACCTCGACCTCACTCTCGTCGTCGCTCTGGTTGTGGTCGCTGTTGTCGCTGATTGAGATCGCACTCTCGTCATCGTCGCTCGAGTCGGAAATGACAGTCGTATTGGCCTTGGCCTTCTTGGCCGGTGGCGGCGACGTGGAGCGCGTATAGCTAGTGTCAAAGGTGGCCAGCTACAATGTGTTGCTAGCCTGGTGTTGTTGTTGCATACAACGGCAAGACGCACCTCGTGCTTGAGCTCCTCGACGTAGCGCTCTGCGGCTCGGTACCGGCGCGAATGCTCCGACATCGATTCCTTTGCGAGCAGCGCAGCTTCGTAGCGATCTTGGAGCACGGCGTGGGCCTTGGCTTTCTCGGCCACCTCGACGCGGCTCGACCGGCGGGGCGGGCCAGTTGGCTTCTGACGTGCCCACGCACGCTTCTTGGGCGAGATGATCTTCTTGTCGATGCCCAGCGAAAGTAGCATCTGCTTGTTCCGCGCGATGCGCGCAGCGCGCTCGTCTTCGTACGCGCTCATGCTGCTCTCAACTGCTTGACGCTCAATACCTGCTGCAGTTCCAGCAAGCACGATTGGTGTGGTCTGGACTACCTCTTTTTAGTGTATTCCTTCTACAAATAGCGAGATATAATTCATACACCATTCCGCGTACTTCAAGATTGCTTCGCCAGGGCGCCTGCGGAACATAGCACACTATTTCTGTACGATGGAGCCTTTTCCCTCCATTTTGAGAGATGAAGCGCCGTGGCGACGACCGGCGCAGCGCCGAGCGCGACAAGCGCCGCCGGACGCGGTCTCGGAGCCCGCAGCGGAGGCGATCGCGTAGCCCGCCACGTAGACGGTCCCGCAGCCCGACACGGAACCGGCTGCAGAGCCCGCCACGGAGATCAAGCCCGCCACGTCGACCAAGCCCGCCACCCGCATCGCGCCAGACTGAGGCCGAGCGCAGTACGCCCGTGGAGGCGCGTCCAGCTGCATCGGCCTCGACGCCGCCCGCGCCGCGTGATGCTGCGCCGCGCTTGGAGAAGAATCAAATGTTTCAGCGCGAGACGGACCCGCACAAGCTCGCGCAGCGCCAGAAGCAGATCGACTTTGGGAAGAACACGATCGGGTACGATCGGTACACCCAATTAGTCCCAAGGTACTGCGTGCATTACGCCGGTCGATCGTCTTCCGCGTGTACCCATGCCGCTCGTGTGCTAGGAGCGAGCGCAAGCAAGGCTTGCACCCGTCGACGCCGGACAAGACGCAAGCGATTAGCAAGCGCATGTGGGATGGGCGCGTGCGTGTATGGCGCTCGGCGCTGCACTTTTGGGATCCCGAGACGCCGGAGGTACCGGTAGCGCCGGCAGCGACCGTCCTTTCGGCACCACTGCCGACGGTCGTACCCACAACGGAGCCATGCAAGCCCAAGGTCGGCGACGCATCGCTGTTTGACGACTTCAAGGATGAGACTGCTGCTCCCGTCGACGACATGGACGAAGACGACTTGCTATAAAGATAAAGCACCACTATATGCATTCGTTATGATAAGGAGGAGGACGTCGTCTTGGACGTATCATGTTACGCGGCCATCGTCGTCTTGAGGAACTCGCGTCGGAGCTTCAACGCATCGAGAAACATCTGCACGTCGATGCCGTCCACGTTGCGGCCGACCCGTGCTCGGAGTCGCAGTTCGCCCTACACGCTTCCATGAGCAGCCTGTACTGTCAATGCACATCGCGTACGTTGTGGAGGTACGTCTCGCCGATGAACTGATACAGCGACCCGATCGTAAGGTCGACGTTGACGAGCTGGTCCGTCGCGACCTTCATGGCGGCGCTCTGGAACGAGATGGACGCGGTCGCGGTGGCTGCGTCAAATGCATCGAGTCTACCTCCATCGTCACACCTCTTCCTCGAGCAGCCTCATGGACGCTACCTTCCCGTCACCCGCACGGAGCGGTTGCTCATGTTGTCCCGCAGGATCTCTTCGATTTGGCAGATCTCTCCCGCGGCCAGCATCGTTCGTCGCTTCCCTTTCCCGTGGCAGATCGCAGAATGCAGCGCTTCGCAAACGGAATACCGGATACACCTTATCTTATCCGGAATTCGGCGGATTCACCCGCGCTGCGCGCTGAAATGCATTGCGCACGCCTCGCCTTGCAGGCGCGCGCTTGACATCCGCAGCACTATCAAACCAGAATTCGGCGCCAACCTATGCTCCTATGCTCCTATGCTCCTATGCTCCTATGCTCCTATGCTCCTATGCTCCTATGCTCCTATGCAAAGCTGCAAAGGAGTACCGTGCGTGAGCTGCAGTGCTTAGCTTTACCAGCTCGATTGTTTGGGATCACGCGACGAGCCAGGCTTGCACTTGTACTGTACAGCTCTACTATTACATGGCTCGACGAGATTTCCATGGATACGCCATGGTTTGTAAACAGCGAGTTCGTTTGCCGCCTGGCGTACCTAGAGTTGGGAGGTTTGATGTGTGCAAAGCACGCGCTGTGCCATAAACTCGAACGACGTTGGAGACGTAACTGAAGTCGCAAGCGTGCTGACAAGCACGTTGCATATTCCTGAGCGAGGCTGTCATGCAAGGTAGATATATTTCTTGTGGCGAATGGCAACACGCAGCCCAAGGCTCGAGCTCATTGCCGGAGAAAATGAAGGATCCACGTATGCCCGGCTCTTGCCACTAATTGAGCACGTTGAGAATGACGTGGCAAGATCATAGGCTCGTGGGCGTTTGCATGAAGCAGCTATGACGCCATTTTCTGAACGCTTTCGCACGCGACTCGACACCCACTCGTGTTACTCCCTATCGCTGCTCCCAGACGAGGATCAAGAGCAATAGATGATAGTAATACATGCGTGCATTAGCTGCGCTTAGTTTTCAAGCACGATGCGGAAACGCGCGTCACCATTGTGCACCTTGTGGAGCGCCGTGGCGGCCTCGGCCATGGGCATCACCTGCACGATCGAGCGCACGTTCTTCTCGACGGCAAACTGCAGCATCTCTTCGATCGTCTCGGGCGACCCGATGAGCGACCCGACAAACGTGATCTGACGCGGCACGACCGAGAACGCCATGAACGAAATCGGCTTCTCCGGGAGACCCACGAGGATAAACTTGCCTTCCGTCGCCACGAGGTTGAAGAGGAAGTTCCAGTTCGTCTTGTCGCCGTACGACGTGCACAGCAAAATGTCAAACGACTGCGCCGCCGCCTTGACGGCCTCCGGGTCGCTGTAGTTGAGGTAGTGGTGCGCGCCGAGCACGTTCTTGCACTCGGCTTCCTTGGCCGCCGACGACGAGAGCGCCGTGACCTCGGCACCGAGTGCGACGGCCCACTGAATACCGAGGTGGCCGAGACCGCCGATACCGAGAACCGCGACCTTCTTGCCAGGACCCGCGCCGTGGGCCTTGAGCGGCGAGTACGTCGTGACACCCGCGCACATCATGGGCGCCGCCGACTCGGACGGGAGGCCAGCCGGGATCGGAAACACAAACTTGGCGTGGCACCGGTAGTAGTCGGCGTACCCGCCCTGGGTCACGTACCCCGCCTTGTTGGTACTGCCGTACGTCCAGAGCATTTCGGGGCAGAGCTGCTCCTTGTTCTTGTCGCACTGCGCGCAGTTGAGGCAGCTCTCGCACTGGGCGCCGACGCCGACGCGCGTGCCAATGGCAAACTTGGTCTTGTCGACCTTGGAGCCGATGCGGACGACGTGGCCGACGATCTCATGGCCGACGACGAGCGGGTAGTTGATTTCGCCCCAGCCGCCCGAGATTGTGTGCAGGTCCGAGCCGCAGATGCCGCAGTGGGTCACCTTGACTTCAATGTCGTACTCTTCGTCGAACGGCTTGGCCGCATACGAATGCGGCTTGACGTCGAGGCCGGGCTCGTGCGCGGCTTGACCGTGGTAGATGTCGTTGGAGGCCATAGTTGTTGTTGTTGCTGGAGAGCTAATTTGAAAATGAAAAGGATGGCGGGCACGAAGAAACCGTGGTCTCGAATTCAGGAAGCGTCTTCAGCGCAAGATGGCGGGCCATGATGGAGGCTTGCGTGTACGTACGTCTGCGATTATAACTGCGATACATGATTAGTACGAGTGCTGATGAGTCCATGCGCCTGATTAACGAAGGAAAGATCCTCGGAATATGCGAGAAACACCGCGTACTGGTGGACCAAGGGAAGAAAACAGTGTTTTAAACAATTGTTTTATATATTTTGGGGTGGACCCAAATGAGTTGGACCCAGTTGGACCGAGGCTCGAGGCTCGCGAACCACAGCGGCTTCAGATCCGAATCACATGTTTTCCAGCCTTGATACGATGGCAACGAATTGGTGGCCGCGGTCGTCGTGCTCCGAGGCGGACCGTGTCGGAGTAAGAAACGCCGTCTTATTGCGCACGTTGGCTAATGATGCTACTAGTAGACGCGAGCTTTACGAACAACTTTGTACATTTTCTGTCGACAGAGAAAGCCCGCCTGCGCTTTGCCAAGTGAGAAGGGATTGTCGCGTACAGTACGCTCCTTTTGAACGAAGTGAAACGAGCGGCTCTCACAGCGTGCACGTCATCCACGCCTCAATAATTCCGAGCAGCAAGAATACCGGACTTTGTGCAGCCAACGCGAACGCCACGCGCACCCACCCACGGAGACAACCTCAACGGAGCCGCTGCATGCAAGGTACGACGTTTCACCTCGTCCCTTCACGCCCATTGACCCTGCAACGCCCCAACTTGTATTCAAGATCGCCGCACGCTCCATCTCTACCTCCTGAAATCGCAAGTTTCCCCTTCCCTCGCACACCCAAGTCGGACCTCAGCGCAGTGTCGGACGGTCGGTGTCCATTCCGTCTCGAAGATTAGAAAGACACCATTCTTGCCACCCAAGGCGAGCACGTGGGTGCATGTACACGTAAATGCATTGCAGCCGACTTGAGTGGCTGCTCGGCGCCAAGATACGCTGCCAACGACGTGATGCGTTTCTCGATCGCCTATCTCGCGCGCGGTCGTGATTCGTCCGCCGCGGCGTTGTACTCACCGTTGGACCAATCGCCGCTTCAAGAACTCAGCAAGGCTTCAACAAGTAAGTCCCTTTCCCGTCATATTCGAACTTCGTCAGCAGCACCCACAATGGCCTCCAACGACATCTACCGCGGTCAAGCCGCGCATGAGCCCGGCCTCGACGTCAAGCCGCATTCGTATGCGGCCAAGCCGTTCGACGAAGAGTACGACATTGAAGTCAAGGTGACCCACTGCGGCATCTGCGGCTCGGACCTGCACACGATCTCGGGCGGCTGGGGTGAAATCGACTACCCGCTCGTCGTCGGCCACGAGATCGTCGGCCACGTCGTCCGCATCGGCTCCAAGGTCGACAAGACCAAGTTTGCCATTGGCATGCGTGTCGGGGTCGGCGCCCAGTGCGAGAGCTGCCTCAACTGCGCGCAGTGCGACAAGAACAAGGAGCAGCTCTGTCCCGAAATGCTCTGGACGTACGGCAGTACCAACAAGGCGGGGTACGTGACCCAGGGCGGGTACGCCGACTACTACCGGTGCCACGCCAAGTTTGTGTTTCCGATCCCGGCTGGCCTCCCGTCCGAGTCGGCGGCGCCCATGATGTGCGCGGGTGTCACGACGTACTCGCCGCTCAAGGCCCACGGCGCGGGTCCTGGCAAGAAGGTTGCGGTTCTCGGTATCGGCGGTCTCGGTCACCTCGGTATTCAGTGGGCTGTCGCACTCGGTGCCGAGGTCACGGCGCTCTCGTCGTCGGCGGCCAAGGAAGCCGAGTGCAAGAACGTGCTCGGCGCGCACCACTACCTCAACTACAGCGACCCGGAGGCCGTCAAGGCGGCGGCGCAGTCGTTTGACATTTTGCTGTGCACGTCGTACGGTGACAAGACGGACTGGAACTTCCTCTTCAACCTCGTGGCGACGGAAGGCAAGTTTATCCTCGTGGGTCTCCCGGAGAAGCCGATTTCGTTCATGGCGTTCTCGGTCGTGCCGCGTCAGATCACGTTTGTCGGGTCGCTCATCGGGTCGCCCGAGACGATCGAAGAGATGCTGCAGTTTGCCGTCGAGAAGAACGTGCGCTCGATCGTGCAGGTGATGCCCATGGCCGAAGCGTCGGCTGCCTTGAAGAAGGTCCGTGCAGGCGATGTCCGCTTCCGCATCGTCCTCCAAAACTAGCGGGTTTTGCGGGATCAAATTGCAATGCTAACGCACGCAAATATATGTTGTGTCTATCTATATCTATGGATCCCTCTATCAATCTATCTATCAATCTATCTAAGCGCGGTTTCCTGCACATGAATGGGGCTGTGAGGAGAATGAAATTGGTGTGCAGTGCACTAGAACTATTCGAACAAACGACGCTGCTCCATTTGACCGCGACCCGTGCCTGCAGTATCCTGGCTCCCGACTCTGCGTCGATCATTCTGGCTGTCGGAGCGTTTGTGGAAACGTGGCAGTGCTGGTCGTTCTAGAAGCTTCCTAGAGGAGCAGAGCGACCTTGTATACGTCTGCGAGCGACGTCGCTTCAAGCTTGGATCAACATACTACGATCATGCATTGTCGTAATCAAACTACTCGCTCAGCGCGCCAAGAAGCCGTGCGATGGAGATCGAACAAACAAGCGGAGCAGCCGTGGTCCAGCTGGAAACTACAGTAATCCGAGGCGAGTCCAAACGTTATGTTTCGCGAGATGGGAGGTCCGAAGACGGCTTTTGTCGGTCATCTCTCAAGCGTGCACATCGACTTTGCGACTCTACGCCGACGGAGGTCTCGATGTTGCGTGTGGGCTTTCTGAACGCGCGGTGCGCTACAATAAAAGCAGACCCTACGTTGGGTTTGAGATACACGAGCCATTCAAAGCGCAACTACCGCTACTATTACTAGGGCAGCATAGTGCGGCCACTCATGCCCCATCAATGTATTTAAAAATACGTGTTGATGCTAGTGACGGTAACTGTTGGTTGCATCGCCTACCAGTACCGGTGTCCTTGACCCTGTTGTGACTTGAAGTACACGGCGAGTTCGAAGGTGGTCGAACCTCTCCGACGCAAATAGCGCAAGACGCATCGTCCCAAGCTTGGACTGATGCGCGCTAGCATGCTCAGTATACGACGCGACCTTTCCAGCACTTTGCACTGGGAACCCCAACGATCGGAACCGAACCACGACCGTCCGATACCAGTTTGACACGCAAATGCCATTGGCCATCGCGTCGGCCAATCAGATGCTCGTGATGCTGCATGGATCGCAGACATCTTTTCACTTTCTCTTAACATGACGACTCAACACATCACAACACCAGCACCCGAGTCGGTCTTCCTCACACTAGTGCGGCAGCCCGACTTGCTCCCGTACATGACGCAGTTCCAGCACGGAAGCCCAAAAGAGCTCGCTGCTGCCTTCAAAAAGTACCGGCGGCAGCTCACCAAGTCTGCGTACGCGCACATCGATGCCAACGACCACAGTGTCTTGCGCTGCTTTGTGCTGTTTCGACTCCTCGCAGATGGCCGATCCACCCTCGCACGGCTCTGTGTGCGTCACTACCCGGAGGGGTACGTGGTCCCGCGCCTCCCGGCCACGGAGCTCTACGCGATGGACGCTGCAGCGCGCCTCGGGGACGTCGTTCTGCTCACTTTTCTCCACGAACACGACCTCGGACGGTGCAGCGCTGGTGCCATGGACGTGGCTGCCGCGACGGGCCATTTGTCGGTCGTGCGCTTTCTGCACCGACACCGGCGCGAAGGCTGCACGCAGCTGGCATTTACGCTGGCCCGTCGACACGGACATACCAAGGTGCTGCAGTACCTCACTACGCACTGCGCCGAGTTTGAGCGCCGACAAAGCGTCCCGCGACATTCAGGCAAAGACGCGGTCGTCGCCGGCGGCATGGTCGCCACAAGCTGCGCGATACAGTAGCGCGAGGCACTTGAATGAGGATACGAGTATTTTACTGTGCGTTGTTTAGCGGCTTGAGTTCACTGCAACTCTGAGAATGAAATGCCTCGGACCTTGCATCGAGGACACGGATTGCGGTCTCGATTTCATGCTGTTAGATGTCACCGTTGCTTTGGTTGATGGGAGCTGCGCTGCATCAACGAAACGTTGCGCAACGGCCTCGAGAGACCTCCTCGAGAGGGCAGTTGTGGCCTTCACCGAGGTGGACTGTAGCGAGAATGGGCCACACTACGAAAGCAATGGGAGGGTGATAAACTTTTAAACTACAATCTTAGACCAAATCTTAGACGAACATTTCGAAACGGCAGAAACCGTAGACGTTGAAAGGATCCGAGCTTGGCCTCAGAGCTTCTTTCTGAACGCGATTCCCACGACACGACGCTGTGCCATGGCTCGCGGCCGCCAAGGCCCTTCAACTACCGCCAGCCTGGCTCATGGGTGTCTTCACTTTGGTCTCGCAGAGCGAGCAGACATGCACGCCGCCAGCAACTGCGCGTGTGCGTTGTTGATGCGAGACAGCGCTAGCACATCCTTTGTCCAATCTCAGCTTACTCAGGCCTGTCACATGCGCCATCAATTTTGGCTTCTCGGAGGTTTTCTTTTGCAAAAACGAATCTTGGCTCACGTCACGCGCCATGTCGCGTGGTCCACATCCCTATTAACCACAAAACCCACAAAACACACCATGAGAAACCCAGCGTGGGAATGCGAAATGTGCAATCACCAGAGTCCGCTGCTGTGATTGGTGCAGTGCCAACCAATCGCATGTCACGTTGCCGTATCTGGCTGCCAACCGCGGAGCCAGAGGCACGGCAGCCGCAAGGCGCATCTCATCACGTACTACGAGCATTCCCCCATTCACCAGACACAAGCACGATGAAGCCGCTCTTCCGCCCTGCCAAGCAATCGTCGCCGCGCCAAAGTCTCTCGGCGCGACCACAAACAGCCGTCCTGGATGTCCTCACGCAGCCGGATCTGCTGGCACTCATTGCCGCCTATCAAGCCGGCACGTCGCGCGAGCTCGCTCGGATCTTCAAAAAGTACCGGCAACAGCTCCACAAGCCCGAGTACGCCATGGTCAACGGCGGCGACGCCAGCGAGTTCCGCTGCTTTGTGCTCTTCAAGCTCCTCTCGGACGGCAAGACCGCAGGCGTGCACCTGCTGTTGCGCGAGTTTCCCGACGGCTACAGCTGCCCCAAGATGAAAGCTGCGGCCGACCTCTATGCGATTGACGCCGCGTGCCGCCTTGGCGACCTGGACGTTGTCAAGTTCCTCCATGAACACCACTTGGGCTTGTGCAGCCAAGCCGCAATGGACGCGGCGGCGTCGAGCGGCAGCCTCTCGATTGTCAAGTACCTCCACCGCCACCGCGACGAAGGGTGCACTCCCCTTGCGCTCGCCCACGCCAAGCGCTTTGGGCACATCAAGATCTTCAACTACCTCGCCACGCACGTCGCAACCAACGAAACTCCGATTCCGGAAAAGTCGGCGCTCACAGCCCGCGACACGGTGGCCGCCACGAGCGACTGCACCATCCAATAGGCATCGTTCTTAGCTGCTTTTATTTACCGTATTTATGCAAAAAGCCACAACTGCACACATGATTGTCGATAGTCACAAATTTGGATTGGGGTGGAAACAACGTCTTTCTTTTGGCATCGAGGCTAGTCCAACATGGACACTGGTATTCGTTGGTGTCTCGCAACCACCAACTAGACTCTCGGCAGTTCCGCTGACGTGTACTATGGACAATATGTCCAACTCGGTCGCACCCCTTCTTCGTCGATTACGCGCGGAAGCCGTCGTGATCCCTCGACGTTTCGTAGCACAATCATCATCATCCGTCGTGTTGACGGCAAGCGCAAGATTCGAACTTGGGCGACATCGAAGTTCGAAGCGGCACTCCAACGGGCGTTGGCAGCCATTGCCTGCGTAGTTCGAAGCTGCGCGAGCAAATTGCAGTTCTCGCTTGTGCTGCCACGTGGCGGCAAAGCTTTTATTGTTTTCATGTTGTTACATACGTATTTCAAGTGAGAATTAAACATCGCTTTTAAAAGCAAGGCCATCGCATCGAAATGAGCAATGCGGCGACGGCTTGCACCCACCCACTGCGAGATCCGGCGCCGATGACCAACATGGAGCGGCCTACGTCGGTCTCGGACCGCGTCTTGACGTCCGGCCGGCGGCTCAAAATGGGCCTCTCGTCGCTCAAGTCGATTGAGATTCGCGAAACGACCGCGGCCCTGCGCATCCAGCAGTTCTACCGCAAGTACCTCGTCAAGTGCAGCCGGCCACTTGTCGTTCGCCCGCCCGCCAGCTCCAAGAAGCTCAAGGTCACGAACGACACGCTTGCGCTCACGACGGCGTTCTTCACGTCCACGATGGCGTCCACAAAGCAGCTCCACGCACGCGAAATGCTGCACAAGCCGACGCTTATCGACGACCATGCCGCAATCGCGCACGTGGACCTCAAGGCCGCCGAGCCCGCGCTTCTGTCAGCCGCCATGAAGGAGCTCGCCGCGCTTCGAAGCTCAAGTCCGTCCGAAGCCGACGTCACCGACGCCGACCTCTTGGTGCACGACCAGTTCGTCAACATGATGCACGAAAAGTGGCTCCTTTGCAGCACGGCCGAGCGCCAGCATATCCACGAGCCGTCAACGGAGCCCAAGCTGCCGTTCTACGCGACAGTCTGCGACGTGCGTCCGTGGTTCTCGGACCTCGTCTTCGTGGCGCGTGGCGGGCCCACCGAGCCGCATGTGCGGGAGGTACATTTTGCAGATCGTCTTGCGCATTCCTCAACCGCATGCTGTAGGTCATGACTGGCCCATCGAGCGTCAAGCACTTACGTGGCATCATCGATGCCATATCGGCGCTCAACGGAACCGAGCAGTGGGCGCCGGACGCCTCCGCGCTTGTGCCCAAGATCCGCAAGCTCTTCTGGACGATGCGGTCGGAAATGATTTTGCCCATGGTGCGTTCGATCGGGTACATTCTCTGCAAGGGCTGGCGTCTTCTCTTTGACGGTCTGTACATTGACGCGGCCTCCATTACGATGCTGCAAGAGCTCGTCGCGCGCCTCGGGCCGGACGTAAGCCTCGTCTTTACGCCGACCCACAAGTCGCACTTGGACTACCTCATTGTGAGCTTTGTCTGCTTTGCGTACGGGCTTCCGCTGCCCCGCATTGCGGCGGGCAACAACCTCAACTTGCCGCTCGTCGGCCGCTACTTGCGCGCGAACGGCAGCTTTTTCATCCGCCGCTCGTTCCAGGGCGACACGCTGTACAAAGAAGTGCTCACGTCGTACGTCCACCAGCTCTTGGTCGACGGCGCACCGCTCGAAGTGTTTGTCGAAGGTGGTCGGTCGCGCCACGGCCGCGTTCTGTCGCCGAAATTTGGCTTCTTCCACATGATTGCGTCCTATCTGGAAGCACACCCGCACAAAGCGGTGGTCGTAGTGCCCCTCTCGATCGACTACGACAAGGTGCTCGAAGTCCCCGACTATGTCGCGCAGCTCCTCGGTACGCCCAAGCAAAAAGAGTCGATTTGGAACCTCCTCAAATCGGTCGTCTCGCTGCTCTTCAACCGGTGCGGCTTTTGCTACGTCCGCCTCGGTGCACCGATCACGATGCAAGCGGGGGCGTCCATGGAGCAGCTCGGCGCGTCGGTTGTTCGCCGCATGCAGACGGCCGGGACGATCACGAGCACGTGTTTGGTCGCCACGATCTTGCTTGCGTCGCGTGATGAGCCCTTGACGCGCTCGCAGCTCGAGGCCCAAGTGCGCTGGCTCCAGGCGACGCTCGTGACCCGGGATGCGACGCTTGCGCCGTTCTCAAGCCTCGAGACGCTGCTCGACCACGCATTGCGCTTGCTGGATCTGCCCTTGACGGCGCCGTTCCTACCGACGCCTCTCGATGCCAGCTGCATGCTGCGTCTGGCCTATTACCGGAACCACTTGCTGCACCACTTCGTTCCCGACATGTGCCTGGCGACGCTGCTCGCCTCGTACACGTCGTCGACCTTTACACTGCGCGACGTGACACGCGACCTCGCACTGCCATGGGCGCTGTGCAAGCGTCTCTGCCCCGGGGCATCGGTGCAGTCCCTCGAGACGTCGCAGATGCAAGCGTTCCTAGGCTCTGTACCGATCCACGTCCTACGTGACGGCGTCTATTCTGTGGACACCACCGCGTACGCAAAAGACCCGCTCGTGCACTTGGCCACGTCGCTCCTGTGGCCGTTCATGGACGCTGTCGCGCTCGTCCTCCGCGCGCTCGAGACGCACATTGCACCCCTCAACGACAAGCATCTCGGGAAGCGCCATCAGTTTTCCGAGCGCCACGTCATTACGTGGATCCACAAGGAGACGCCGTTGGGTGCGGTCGACCACGACGAGGCCATGAGCATGGAGAACATCAAGGTCGCCCTTCACGCGCTCGTCGATAGTCACGTCGTCCTCAACGACGCGCGGGTGTTTGAACTGGCGCCGGCGTATGCGAGCCTCGCGTCGCTCTCGACACTGCGTCGGTCGCTGCTCCGCAAGCCGCGCCGGCAGCGCTGGCATGTCCCCGCCGCAAGTGAGCCGCGCGCTGTCTCGTGGGGCCACCTCGCGCTGCTTTTGCTGTAGACGTGTGCAAATTTTACAATTGGAATAGATCAATAACAACCTATGCGTGCTACTACACTAGACTTCTTGGTTGACATACGCCGCCGCCGCCGCCGCTACAGGATCCACGTCAGAGAGAGTCGGGAGGTTATCGACGCTACCTCGCCGCTTCTTGCAGCGGTAGACCAGCAGTGCAAGTAGCGCGAGACCGATCAAGCACCCGCCGCCGATGAAGAGGCCCAGTGCCCAGTTGGGCGACTTGCCTGCCAACATACGTCCACAATCAGATTTCAGAATCCACAAAGCGAACGCACCAGAAAAGTCGAGGACGTTGGTGCCGCCGCCGCAGTTGCCGTTCGGGCAGTAAAACGTGACGGCTTGCTGGTGCACGAGGTACGACGTGTAGTAGACCTTGAGGAACGTATCACCAAGGATCCAGCGGTCGCCCGACGAGCCGCCGGGCGGCGTCATTTGGAGCTGGATGAGGATTTGGGTCTCGGAAAACACCATCGAGTAGTCCCACGCGTTGAGGTAGAAGGTGGTGCCGTGGAGCTTGAGCCCGAGGCGCGGCAGCTTGACGTCCTTGGGGCACACATAGTACGACGCTTGCCACGCGCACTGCTGCGGCAGAAGGTACGTCGACGCAAACTAGATATGCGTGCTGAGGACAGGCCATACAAGCACACTGTGAAGCTACCTGCACGAAGAGGAAGCGGGGCATTGAGAGAAAGGTCGTGCCCGAGTCGACGACCGCGATGCAGCCGTTGACGGTGTTTTTGCACGGCGATGTACTGTTGTCGTTGGTGCTATAGCTCTCCAAGAGGATGTTCCAGTGCGACGTTTGGTTGGCCGCAAGCGGCACCGTGACGCCGACGAGACTCTGCTTGGCAATGAGCGCGTCGTCGACGCCGTTGAGGATCAAGGACGACCCGGAGGCGTCGGGCACGGACGTCAAGAACATGCTAAAGCTCTCGAGGTGGCTCACGAGGTACGACGCGTTCGAGGTCGCGTTGAAGGTTGAGAGCACCGGGTACGCGAGCCCGAGGATGCCGTTTGTGGCGTTCGTCAGCACGTTGTTGGCCATGCCAATGCCGTAGATGCCATCGGTGAGGGCGAGGCTCCCAAGCGCGACGGCGCCGCGCTTGGGGAGGAGGCACGCATCGCCGCTGCCATAGTAGATGCTCACGCCGCCGGCGGGACACGGCGAGACGCACGAGGCGCTCGAGACAGCCGTGCACGCGACCCAGAGATCCGCCGAGCCCGTGTCGACTTGGACGTTGTAGTCTTTGCCTTCGATGGAGACGCGGACAATGTACTGTGTCGCGAGGTGGTTCTGAATCGCGACGGTCGAGGCGGCGGTGCTGAGCACCCGCGGCTGGCGGGTTATGGGCAGCGCGAGCCGCGGCAAGGCGGCGGCCATGGCGAGGCCAAGCAAGAGAACAAGCCGGGCGAGCATAGCGGTCAAGTACGGGTGTTGGACCGTGGGTGGCGTCGGGGGCGGAACCGAGTATGTTCACAAAGCCGCAGCATGCTTGAACTTGGCTGCTGGATGCCAAAAGGGTGGGATTGCGTTCGTCGGCTTGTGACGTCTTTCTACGTTTTTCTGTTTAAACATCGGTACACGCTTGTAAAACGCAGCGTCTTGCCCCGTTTTTTGCAATTGACTCACTTTACCCTACTGTGCATATTGCAAGCAACACGCCAGCTGTCGATGTCACTATTTGCAACGATACTGTCCTTTCTCACGAGAAATAGTGTGTCTATTTTGAAATTTGACACATTGCGACAAGGGTATATACCTTGGCATCTCAAAGAGGGTGAGAGATGCATCTCTTATATACCCTTGGTCGCGACTACCTCGAGGCTGCGCCGTAGGCGTGGGACGCTCCCGTCTCCTCGGACGACGAGTCGTCATCGACAACCCACACCGACTGACATGGTCGCTTCGACGTGCCTACATCAGTGGGGCCTTGAGAGTAACGTCCATGTCACGGAAATAGTGTTACCGTGGCGGCGCCGGTAGTAGTAGCACCAGCCGACCAGCCCAAGAAGCCCGAGGCCGACAAGGGAGGATCCCGCAATGATCAGAATGAGCGCCCAGGTTGGCATGTCCGCTGCATCTTGTGAGCACATATGCCGGTTGCAAAGGTAGTACCTGAAAAATCGAGGACGTTGTTGCCGCCCGCGCAGTTGCCGCTTTTGCAGTAGAACACGACCGCCTTCTCCGACACCTTGTACGTCGTGTAGTAGACCTTGAGAAAGGTGTCGCCAAGGATCCAGCGGTCGACGAGGCGTCCGGACGGCGACGCTTGGATCTGCACAATGATCTCGGTCGGCGAGAAGACGAGCGCGTAGTCCCACGTATTGAGGTTGAACAGCGTCGCGCTCTCGCCGAAGGCAAACGCGAGGCGTGGGAGCGCGATCGTCTTGGGACACGTGTAGTACTCGCCTCGAAAGACGCAGTTGTATGGCAGGAGGTACGTGGCGACAAACTAATCAACACTAAATCGTACATCGGTGCGCCAAGGGTGATGACGTACGGGCTGGAAGACGGCTTTGGGCATGGCCAAGAACGACGTGCCCGAGTCCACAATGGCGAGGCAGCCGCCGTTCTTGCACGGCTTTTGGTCCCACGCGACACTGCCGCCTTGGACGAGGAACTGCGAGACGTTGATGTTCCAGTAGTCTTGTTCGCCGGTTGCGAGCGGGATCGTGTACCCGACGAGGCTGTCCTTGGCGACCATGGCGTCGTCGACGCCGTTTAGCACAAGCTTGGAGCCCGGCGCATCGACTTTGGGCGTCAAGTACATGCTAAAGCTGTCGAGGTGGAAGACTGCGTACCACGACGTGTTGGCGAAGGACCCGTACGACGAGAGGCCGGGGAAGGCCAGCCCCAAGATGCCTTGACTCACATTCGTGGGAACGCTGCTCGACATGGCGATGCCGTACACGCCATTCGAGAAGGCGACGCTGCCGATCGCGATGGACCCTTTCTGGGGCACGACGCACGCGCTGCCGCTGCCGTACGTGATGGTCGTAGCCGTCGACGGGCATGGGCTTACGCATGCTGAGGACGAGACATAGTCGCAGGCGACCCAGAGGTCGGCCGAGCCAGTGTCAATCTGTACGGTGTACGTCTTGCCTTCGATCGCGAGGTTGACCAAGTACTGCGTGCCGTCGTGGTTGGTGAGGTCGACGCTCGACGTTGCTAGGCGCCGGTGCATCGGCAGCTCTTGCCGGTTGAATGACGTGGCAGCGCTGGCGGCTATCAGCAATGCGCAGCAGAAGGCGCGGACTGCGTGCATCGAGGCGATTCGGTCGCGGACAGCTCCGGCGTCTCTGTTGCGGGATGGCGGTCACAATCCTGTATCCGGATAAAACCCACCGGATAAAAACGCGGCCTTGTGATTGGCGCATGCGGCCAGTATCCAGCGTCAACCCACACAGCACGACTGAACTTGGGGACGAGCTCCATCGACGAAGTTGGGAAGGTAAACCACCATGTATTAATAGCTGTATAGGGGGTGCAGCCTTGACTCGAGTACGATACAAATCGGCGGGAGAGTCGACAGCTTGACCCGCGCATATCAGCTTTGGACATAGCGCCCCCAGCTGCAGATCGAGTGGAGGAGTGTCTAGAGACTTGGAAGTTCTTGGAAATGCCGCTGTTGACACAGTTACAGGGTGCTGTGCCATGCCGCGCCGCGCCGCTTGGCGCAGCGCCTCCTCGCCCACGACACTACGATCGTCGAGTATCACGACCCATCATTGGCAGAAACGCCTGTCATTGCCACGACGACACTGCCGTAGTACCGGTACGAGACGGCGGCGTGGGCATGTCAGCCTGACAGGCTGCTTGCCGTGGTGAATCGGCGACCGTATGCCGGAACAAGCTTCGAAGCGTCGGTGCACGTTCCACGGAACAAATGACCGTCCGTGTGGCGGCCACGGTGAGCTTGGCGCATGACCTGCTTACTGCATTTTCGATTTGTCCAAATATGACCAACGCCAAGGTGTTTTGCCTCTCAGTGGCAACCCTTGGTACCTGCACGACGGCAACGACCGACAGCAACAACCCCGCCCACGCGACATGCAGCACCGAGAAACTCGCGACAAAGCCGAGAGAGGTTGAGCACAAGACGACGAGCATCACGGACGCTGCCGCGAGCGGACACCTAGCGTCCCAGGTTCGACTCGGTGCCCAACTCGTGCAGGCGCCGGGAAGACACGACGAAGGCTACCAGTGGACGCTTCTCGCAGCGCAGCGCGGCGCCGCCGAGGCGCAACTTTTACTGGCCACGCTCCTCGCGCTCGGCCACGGCTGCAGTCGTGACAAATCGATGGCGCTGCGCTGGCTCAAGCGAGCGCGTCTCCACAGCGGCAACCAGATCTCGGACGAGGACGTGGCGGGCGCCAAGCATATGCTTGCGATCGGTGAAAAGATATGCGCCCTGGAACGGCTGCAAAAGTGGTCGACGGGGACGCTCTCGGTCTCGGGTCGTGTCCAGAGGTTCCAGTCGCATGACGATGATGATGACGACGCGTCATCGCAATCCTTTGGCGACGTTTTCACCGAGATGGTTGCGCAAAGCAAAAATGGGTCGTCGGTGGCCCGCGACTTTGTCCAAGGCTACACGACGCTCAAGGCGGGTGTTCACTGGCTCGAGGCTGGCGATATCACCCGCGGGATCGCGACCGTGCGCCAGGCCCATCGATTGTGGCATCCGCTGGATGTGCCGCGGGAGGTGGCCGTGCGCGTGCAGCAAGCGGCGCGGCGCGTCCTGATCGCCGACCCCTCGGACGCCAATGCACTGTATGTCGAGGGTGTTTACGGCTTTAAGGCCACACCGGCACTCTATTGGCTCCATTGCACGACGCTGCACCCAACAGACGCCGCCTTCCATCACGCGCTCGGCGCTGTCTATGCGTCTGCGGGCCAGTACGAGAGTGCGCTGCGATCTTTCACAAAGGCCATCGCTGTCGCGGCAAGTGCCACCGCCAACGAGACGCTTACGTGGTGCTACGAGCGTGCAGCGTGCCTTCGAAAGCTACTCGGGACAGGCCTCGCGTCGGTGGCCTCCGCTGTCGCGGCCTATGAGAGTTACGTCCGCGCTGCGCCGCGCGACCACCGCAAGGTGCCTGAGGCATGGTACGCACTCGGTCTTTTGTACGCGGCCGCGGGACGCACGGAGGATGTGCGCCATGCGTTCGGGCAAGGCGTCGCCACCGAGGCGTGCCGGCTGCGCTGTCTGCCGCCACTCAACTTTTCGACCAAACAGCGTGTGGCCAAGTATCTTTTGCACGCGCCCGACGCTCGGCGTCGGCCAACGTCGTCGTCGGGTGGCGCGGTGCACGGAAACGCATCGCCGCCCATTGCGCTGGACGTGCTTCGCCGCATGCACCGACTCCCTCTCTAGACGCCAATTCTCGAGTTCATTTGTGGCTTTCTATCCATCCCAAAACGATATCGTTCGTCCATGATGTTGCGCGAGCGTGCTCGTTGAAGGAAGATATCACAGGTGCACATGTGTCTCACTGATCAAGTCCTCGCACAGAGGACGAGAAAGGCAGTGGAAGCGCCAACCTACGATCCTCGACGGTGGCGAATCAGGTGCGGGGTGTGGATCGCACGTGGCATCGCACAATGTGTCCACGAAAGTGCAGACGCCATGTCGCGCTGTGCATAGATACCACATGGCCACACGTCGCCGTCTTCTTGACGTATGCCTCCCATCATCCCTTGTCTTGACATGCATCATCCTCTTCCTCGCCCGCCAAATCTGCGTTGCACATGGTCTCCTTTGGCCCAGTGCTTCGTACCTTAGCAAGGAAGAGGCCATGACCGTACATTGCCGTCACATCGACGACGTCATCCGTGGCGGCGGGCGCCACAGCCGTGCTCACGCGTCGTTCTCGGTCCAAATTCAAATTCCGCGCTTCGCGGCTTTTTCAGCGCCAAGTCGCGTTGGCACTGCGCGCTGATTGGCCGCGTGGTTGGTTTGGCCACAGCATGCAACGTCTTTTTTTGTCGGCGGTGCGAAATAAAATACTATTTTTATGCACAGATTCCCGTGCCACTTTATTAAATACCTAGGTGTTTGTATGTAGAATGCGAATTCGCGGGCGCGCGGGCCACGAACGACGCGTGTATTATTTTGGGCGCTTCGTGCGAAAATGCGGAAAATTAATGTTGCGAATTAAATGAGTGAAGTTTGTATGGGTAATATTATTCGGTTGTTTTTTAATTTGGACCACTACGCCATTCACCATGGAACAGCAGCAGCCAGGAGGAGGCTACCAGCCGCCGATGGAGCCATCGTCCTCCCATGCGTACATCCCCATGCATGAAGGGACGCCGACGTCCTCGACGACGTCCTTCAGCCACGCGGAGCCGACCTCGATAGAGCCGTCGCCCATCAGCCGGCCAAGCTACTCGTGGAACGAAGGCGCGACCGACGGCCACCACGCGTCGGCGCCGACGGGGCAGCCCCAGGACTACCCGCCGATGCAAGTGCCCACGCTGCCGATGACGCCGCTGCAGGTGCCCAACCAGCTTCCCGGCATGCAGATGCCCATGGGGTACATGCCGTCGATGGCGAACGGCGGTGCGATGCCCAACCCGATGATGGGCATGCCGATGCGCAACCCGATGGCCGACCCGATGCACATGGGCGCCCAGTCCATGTTTCCGCAACAACAGATGCACCATCAGGCCGGCGGCGGCATGCACTACGCCAACATGGGCCACCCGACGCCGTACGGACAGCTCCCGCAGATCCAGCACCCGCACATGGCGATGAACAACGCGCCGCCGATGCGCGCGCCCATGCCGTACGGCGCCTCGTACGAGTTTGAAGTCACGCTCCAGAAAGGCTCGTACGGTCTCTGCATGAACATGGGCGTCAAGCTCGGGAGCATCTCGGTGCTTGGCTTTCGCCAGCCGCAACCCGGCGTCATGGGGCCGGCCGAGATGTGCGGGATGATCCACGTGGGCGACGACCTCGTCGCAGTCGACGGCATCGTGCTCCAGACAGCCGAGGACTTCAAGAAGGTCGTGCCGCTCCTCAAGTCGGAAGCCCCCGCGACGCTGCGCTTCCGGCGCCACAACCGCCCAGAAGGGGCCGGCTACTACAACGACGCAATTCCGAACGGGACGGGCACGTCGGGCAAGGTGTATGCGCCCGGCGAGGCGTACTTGGGCGTGCGCTACCACGGTCCGAACCGGTGGTCGGCCGAGGTCAAGTCGGCGCAGAACCACATCCAGAGCCTCGGCGAGTACCAGAGCGAGTACCTCGCGGCGCAAGCGTACAACACGTACATTTACCGGACGTATGGCCAAGGCGCGCTCAAGTTTATGCACCCGGCGTGCCGGAGCCAAGCGCAGATGGCGATGACGCCCGCGCAGATGCAGCAGATGCACGCCATGAAGCAGCAGCCGCCCGTGCGCAAGACGATCCTCCACGCCATGTTTACGGTCGAGCAGAAGGAGCAGCTGCGGTCGCAGATCATGGTCTTCAAGTTTAGCACCAGCGGCAACGGCATCCCGAACGAGCTCCTTAGCATTGCGCTCAAAGGCGCGCTGCCGCTCGACTTTAACATTCAACCGAAGGACCGGTCGCGCAAGAAGACGTTCAACGACGAGCAGCCGCCGCGCCAAAACAAAAAAGCCGGCCGCCCGCGGCCAAAGCGCAGCCGGAAGAAGCACGACGACTCGGACGACGACGACGACGACGGTGGCGACGACGACGGCGACGGCAACTTTGAGCCCAAGAAGGTCATCCCGCCCATGGTACAAAGTTTGAACTCCTGCAGTTCCAACGTCTCATGCGTCCACTAGGACGTGCGTCGGTCGCGCCGCAACGCTGGCAAAGAGACCAAGCGCTACAGCGAGGTGGCCGAGAACGATGGCGAGGAAGAGGACGTCGAGGCCGAGAAGCGCAAGCGCGAAGAAGCCGCGCAAAAGGAAGAGGACGACAAGCACGCGATGGACAAGATTGTGGGCATGCGCTTTTGCGACGACCCGAGCAACGCGCTCGTGCAGACGATGGAATTCTTGATCAAGTGGAAGAAGGCGTCGTACATGCACACGACGTGGATGACGACCGCCGACATGGAGGCGCACGGCAAGGGCGCGGTGCTGCGCATGCGCCGGTACCTGCAAAAGCACGCTCGCGAGGTCGAGCTCGCGCGCCTGAACCCGACCGACCGGCGCGAAGAAAACGCGACGTACTTTCCGTCGGCGTACCTCGAGATTGACCGCATCCTCGACATGATGCCCAGCGTGTCCGAGCCAGTGCTCAACGCGCTCGGCGAGACGGTGCTGCGCCACGGCAACAAGTTTCTCATCAAGTGGCGCGACCTCTCGTACGCCGACTGCACGTGGGAGTGGGCCGAGGACGTGACGGACGACCGCAAGATTGCGACGTTCCACCGCTACAACCACCCGCCCATGGTCGACAACGCGCCGCGGTCATTCTTTGAAGACGTGCGCCCGCCGGTACGCATTTCTCTTGCGATTTCGATGCTCATGTCGGATGCGTGTAGCCCACCGAGTGGGCCAAGTACCAAGAGACGCCCAAGTACAACGACGCCAACACGCTCCGCTCGTACCAGCTGGAAGGGCTCAACTGGATGGTGTTTTGCTGGTACAACCGTCGCAACTGCATTCTCGCCGATGAGATGGGTCTCGGCAAGACGATCCAAGCGACCGTCATGCTCGAGCACCTCCGGCAGCACGAGCACATTCGCGGGCCATTCCTCGTGGTCGCGCCGCTCGCAACGCTTGGCAACTGGAAGCGCGAGATTGAGTCGTGGACGAGCATGAACTGCGTCGTGTACCACGACTCGGAGGGCGGCTCAGACACGCGCGCGTTCATCCGCCAGCACGAGTTTTACTACCGGCAGAACGACGCGTACCGGCGCCGGGGCATCTACAAGTTCAACGTCATGGTGACGAGCTACCAGACGCTCATGGCGGACGCCGAGTTTCTCCAGGAGATTCACTGGCGCTACATTGTGATCGACGAGGCGCACAAGCTCAAGAACCGCGACGCGAAGCTGCTGGCGTCGCTCCGGCAGTTTACGTGGGACTCGTGCCTCCTCATGACGGGCACGCCGCTCCAGAACGGCGTGTTTGAGCTCTGGTGCCTCCTCAACTTTATCGAGCCGGAAAAATTTCCGAGCCAAAAGCTGTTTTACGAGCTCTACGGCGAGCTCAACACGGCCGAGCAGGTCGCGTCGCTCCACGAGCAGCTGCGCCCGTACATGCTCCGCCGGGTGAAGGAGGACGTCGAGAAGAGCATTCCGCCAAAGGAGGAGACGATCATTGACGTCGAGCTCACGACGATGCAAAAGAAGTACTACCGCGCCATCTTTGAGCGCAACCGCGCGTATTTGAACCAAGGCTCCAACATTGCGGTCGCGAATCTCATGAACGTCGAGATGGAGTTGCGCAAGTGCTGCAACCACCCGTTCCTGATCCGCGGCGTCGAGCAAAAGGAGCTTGCGAACGTGACGACGCAGCACGAGCACACGCGGCTGATGATCCAAGCGAGCGGCAAGCTAGTGCTGCTCGAGAAGATGCTCGCCAAGTTCCGCGCCGAGAAGAAGAAGGTGCTGGTCTTTTCGCAGTTCAAGATCATGCTCGACATCCTCGAAGACTTTTTCAATACGCGCCAGTATACGTTCGAGCGCCTTGACGGCGCGCTCCTCGGCAACGCGCGCCAGGCGGCCATCGACCGCTTCAACGACGTCGAGTCGGACACGTTTGTGTTCCTTCTGAGTACGCGCGCCGGCGGCGTCGGTATCAACTTGATTGCGGCGTCGATCGTCGTGCTCTTTGACAGCGACTGGAACCCGCAGAACGACTTGCAGGCCGTCGCGCGGTGCCACCGCATTGGGCAGACGCAGGCCGTCCGCATCTACCGGTAATTCGGTGTTTGGTGTCGCAGTTTCTGAGCCGTATGGTGCTCGTAGGCTCGTGACCAAGAAGACGTACGAGGCGCAGATGTTTGAGATTGCATCCAAGAAGCTCGGCATGCACCACGCGGTCTTTGAGACGGGCGGTGTCCGCAAGGACTTTGACGGGAGCGACGACAGCAACATGATGTCGCTCATGAGCCTCGACAAGGAGAAGGTCGAGATGATGATCCGGTACGGCGCGTACGCCATCATGAACAACGACGAGGAAGACCCGGAGAACGTCAAGATCAACGAGCTCGACATTGACCATCTGCTGAGTTCGTCGCGCACGATCCGGTACGACCCGGCGACGGGCAACACGTCCGAAGAGAACGGCCCGGCCGCGCTCTCGTTCTCCAAGGCGAGCTTCACGGCCGAGACGTCCGACTCGACGATCGACTTTAACGACGGCGACTTTTGGGAAAAGGTCCTCGGGCCCAAGCAAGTCCAAGTGCTTGCGTCGCAGGTCGAGAATGGGTCGCTCATGAACGCGGACGTGGACGCGATCAAGGCGTTTCTAACGACGCTCCGCGAGCTTTCGCGGCAGCTCGTGAAAGAGCGTCAGAAGGGCGGGCAAGTCGCGGACGCCGACCAGATTCTCTCGATTCTCATCGAGCTCAAGGTGCGCGGCCCGCTCTCGAAAGCGGTCAACGTGCGTTCGATCGCGGCCGATTGGCTCGAGGTCATTGAGCGCCCAAAGCGCCGGCGCAACCAAGAGGTGGAGAGCGCGCTCATGTACCACCCGTTTCTGGACGGCGATGATGACGATGACGCGCCGATCGAGGCCTCAAAGAAGGGCAAGAAAGGCAAGAAGGCGACGAAAGCGGCGCCCGTCAGCCGCCACCGCAAGTCGTCGCACCCGAAAGAAGACAAGAGCGGGATCGTCGTGTCCATGTCCAAGCTGGCGCGCAACGAGTACAAGGTCGTCAAGGTGCACAGCCGCATTCGCAGCGTGAACGACCGCATCCGCCTCGAAGACAGCGAGGACGACAGCGACGGCTCGAGCGAGTCGGGCGGCGACGAACCCATGGACGACGACGACGACGACATGGACGAAGACATGGACGACGACGCGGACGACGACGACATGGACGACGAGGAAGAGGACGACTACGACGACCGCAAGCCCAAGAAGCGGCGAATCAGCCGCAAGGGCCACCCGAACGCTGTCGCGACAGGTCTCCCGGCCAAGCGCGGTCGTCCGCGGAAGAGCAAGTCGAAAGCGGACGACGAGTCAGACGTGACGACGACGATGACGACGACGCCGCCGCCGGTCGTGGTCGCGCCGGCCGAGCCCAAGGGCGAAGGCATGGAAGAGATGTGGTGTCGTGTGTGCTACAACGATCAGGGCTACGACGACGACCCGATCGTACAGTGTGAAAAGTGCCATTGCGCCGTGCACAAGGTACATATTTACCTCTCGCTGTCTCCTCTCACGCGACCGGAACTAGTTTTGTTATGGCATTGAGCGCGTCCCGGAAGGCGACCTGCCGTGGTACTGCGACCTCTGCCATGCCCACATGGACGCCGCCGAGGTGCCCAAGGTTGGTTTGTGTCTTTGACAAGGGGTTGCTCACTCGTCTGTAGACGTGTATCATGTGCCCGCTGCAGCTGCCCGAGACGGCGTTCAAGGAGACGGTCGACGGGCAGTGGGTCCACGTGGTCTGCGCGCTCTGGGCGCCGGGCGTGCAGTTTGAGGACACGGCCAACATGCGCGGTCTCCAGAACGTGCGCGAGACGATGGACGCGATGGACGACGAGCAAAAGGCGGCGACGTGCGTCCTCTGCAACGAGCCCAAGGGCTGCATCAAGTGTTCGCGCAACGCGTGCAGCACGTACTTCCACCCGCTCTGCGGCCGCCAGACCCGCGGCGTCTACGACATGTACATGAACGACACGGGCAGCCTCCGGTCCTTTTGCGAAGAGCACCGGCCCAAGAACCGGCCCAAGGTCGTCCGAGGCGACGCGAGCTAAAGCGTTCCCCTATATACCCTTGTCGATCGAGTTGTATTTGCATTTTTCTTCATTTTTGTCTTAGAGGCCGAGGTCCCGGACCTTGTCCATCTGCGCGTCAAACTGCGCGAGCCACGTTTGGTCGAGGAACTTGTTGTCGCGCGTGGGCTTTTCGGCAAAGACACTGTCGATGGCCGAGAGCAGCACGAGGTTGTGCAGCGGTCGCACCAGCGTGAGGAAGTCGTCGAGGATGTCCTTGCGCACCTTTGGCATTGAGATGGACCCTACCCCCAGAAACTACAGACTTGGAAGATAATGACATCCTACGCAAAATGTGGTGCAGCGCCGCGACCGGGATGCTGCCCGTCTCGGCCTTGTCGATCGTGCGCGCGGCCGACAAGATGACGTCTTTGTACGGGAGGAGCTTCTTGACGTTGACGGCCCAGTTGTCGAGCAGCATTTGGTGAGACGCCTCGAGGGCCGAGTGGACGACGTGGGGGAACTCGCGCCGGAGCTGGTCGCGCCTTGCGTCCGTGCGCCGGTTCATGCGCACGAGGCTCTCGAACTCATCAATGTCGAGGACGCCATTGCCGTTCTTGTCGAGGTGCGCCATGATGATATGGAGCTAGGGCTAGGGTTTAGAAGTCGAGCAACATGGCGTGTGGACCTCGGGTGGCGGCAGCTGAATGTCGAGCTGCTTCAACACGTCTTCGAGCTCGTCGCGCGAGATGCCGCCGCTGCTGTCGGCGTCGCAGTACCGGAAGAGGTCGATGACGCGCAAGTGTTTTCGCCGCAGGTGGCGGTCGATGCGCTGGATGATCTTGTAGATGACTTTGGACTTGCCCCGGGACGCGTAGTCATGGAACGAGTGGTCATGGGGGTCACCGAGCGAGTGCAGAAGCGCCTTGTGCCGTGGCGGACTCTGCGTCTGGTTGTTGTGGCGCGGCTTGGCCACAGGCGCTTTGGACGCTATCGGGACGGCCGGCAGGCGCGGCGCGCTTGTGCCCTTGGAGAGCTTGAGACGTTTGGCCCACTGCGCGTGGCCGCCAGGGACTTGGAGTTTCGGAAGCGACGGCGGCGGCAGCGAATGAATCGCCGCTTCATCCAGTACGCGCACCATGGAAGGCGCATCGAGCTCCTTGTCCTCGCTGCCCATGAGCATCTCATTGTTGGTTTCGGTGCTTGACGTCGCCTCGGAGCTCATCAAGGTCAGGAGCTTGGCTCGCCATGCGGGCATTGGCGGCTCTTGCTGCTGGTTGTTGTCGTCGACTGTGCTCATGGGTTTGGGCACTGCCGTCGTAGCGCGCAGCACGGCCTCGAGGGCCTTGAAGAGGTTGTTGTCCGTCGGAGGTCCATCCTTCTCGGTTGGATTGTCGATAACCTCAGTTGCTTTGTCGATAACCGTGGTTGAGGTCTCGGTAACCTCGGTTTTGGATGTTGACTCTTGGAGCGCTTCTAGCTCGCGGCTACGCGCCAGCACACGCAGCAGCTCGTCCAACTCTACTCGCACCCACGTGATGACGACCGCACCAACGTCTCGTGGCACGTAGTACCGAGCTCTTCTTCGTCGCCGTCGGCAGGGTACGACAGGACGTAGGTGCCTCCCGCTTTGCTGTGGATCACGCCTTCAAACACACCAAACCCGTCAAACTCCTTGAGGAAGCGCGTGCCGACCGTAGGCTCAAGCCGCTTGCGCGCAAGGAACCGGCGCACGGCGGCTTGGCCCTGCACGAGGCCGCGCCGGAAGGTCACCGCCGTCGTGTACAGCCGCCGTTCCCCGGTCGTCACGACGCGCTCGGTGGCAACTTCGAGCGCCGCCCGCGGAAGCCGCGCGGCGACGACGATCTGGTGCAGAAATTCTTGCGTCCGGTCGACCTCGAGCCCTGCCAACACCTGCAATGATTTTGCAATGACAGTCGAATGGAATGCGTCGGCGGTACCTGCACGGGGCTCACGAGGAAGAGCACCGAGACATAGTCGCCTCTCGGCTTGTTGGCCTCGAGGGCAAACGTCACGAGCGCCAGCGCACGCGTGAGGAAGGCCGCCTACGGCGTCGTCAACGTCCGGTTCGCTTATCGCCTGTGCACCTTGAGCTCGCGGGTCGTGACGCGGGCGAGCGCGAGCTGCGTGGGGCTAAAGACCCCGACGGCGCCAAACGCGGCAACGCACACCGTGTGCAGGAGCGGGAACGGCGGGCGCAAAAGGACCTTGGGCGTGATGGGCAGGCTCGGAAAGGCCGCGTGCAACGCTGCGTAGAGACCCTGGACACCAGTGTCGCCCATGGCTCAACCAAGCGACTCGTCGTTCTATTCTTATCCTAGTTTCGACTAGGTAGCAGGCCCAGACCATGTCCAATCGAGAAGGATATTCCAGTGTTCGCACCGCTGCCTTGCACTGTCGAAGGAGCAAATCGAGCTGCAAGTTGTACTTGTGGGCTCTCGATCCACCGGGCATATACTGCGATTCGCTGTACATCCCTTCCCTTCAAAAGCTCAGACGATCGCGCCACCAAGCCACGATGTAGAGTCCACCGTGCGTTCGACTGCGTAGCGCCGAGCCCTGCGCGTTTCGAGACGAGACAGCTGCGGATGCGAAGGGTAGATTCGCTACAAGTAGCTATCAACTGTGTGCGCGCGGCAGAAGATGCGCCCGCGACATGGCTCTGCAAAGCACTTGAACCTCAATAAAATATTGCGTCCTGACTGCAGCTGCAGACACCTCCCACGTCCATCCATGAACGCAGACGAAGCAAGATTGCTGATGAGTGGTTCGATGGTGTCAAAGAACCGAGGCGAAGATACGATGCCACATCGGCCGCACGTGTCCCAAGCGCGCTCGCACGCACCCACACGCCATTCACCTACTGGCACCTACGCACAACCCGAAGCAGGCCAATGAGATGGCGGCCCGTCGCAGCCTCAAGCCAGCGTCCATCCTTTGTCGACTGTCACATTTGTCGTTTCGACGCTATGTACCAGCTTTTCGTCGCTACTTACCAGTATTTCGACGCTACTTACCAGGTTTGTTTCGCGCGCCTTGGTACATATTGTCGGAACGTCACAGCATACAAAAACCAAGTGGGCGCGAGTAGCCTATACACGCCTGGGACAGTCGAACGTGCGTGGCTGGGAAGAGGATTGGTAATCGATTTGAACCGAGCACTTGAGTCTCATTTTCCAATTTACCATCTTTACACCATGGCATCTATCACCTCCTCGGGCGCGTCATTCTCGGTGCTTACGAACGGCCCGCTCAGCGCCATGATCCTCTCGTACCAGTACGGCGTCACGAAGGAGATGTCGGCCGTGTGCCTCACCGCGCGCCGCAAGCTCAAGCGCCGCCCGCTCGCGTCCCAGAAGCACTTGATTCTGTCCCAAACCGACATGTTCCGCGGCTACCTCCTCCTCAAGCTGCTCGAGAAGGACGACTTGGCGACCGCGAAGGAGCTTTTGCGCCAGCGCCCGACCGGGTACATTGCGCCGCCCGTCGAATCGAGCTACATTTACGGCCTCAACAACGCGGCGCGCCTCCGCGACCTCGAGCTGGTCAAGTTCCTTCACGACAACGAGCTCTCCAAGGCAACGAAAGACGCCATGGACACGGCCGCCGAGTTTGGTGACCTCGAGATCGTCCGCTACCTCCACGAGAACCGCAAGGAAGGCTGCAGCCTCGTGGCGTTCGTCTTGGCCGAGCGCCACGGCCACAACGACGTGCTCGAGTTCCTCACCGAGCACCGTCCCCGGGATCGCAACGCGTGTCCGTCGGCAGACCCAAAGTTGCTCATGATCCCGGCCATGCTTAGCAACACGTGCAACATTCAGTAGACTCGATGTTTCGAGTAGGATAGTAGTAATAGTATTATTTAAAAGACACGTTGATTTTACTCCACGAGTTCTGTCTGCAGTCCTTTGTGGAAACGAACGGGATCACAAGGATCGAACCTGGGACATGCGTCATGACGCGTCTTCTTCTCAACGCGACGACTCTAGCTCGCCTGGCTTTGCTGCGATGCGCTCTCGGCATCCGTGCCGCTCACCCGTGCGGGCTGTACGTCGGCATTACGCCGACCTGTCTCGAACGCCGTGCCTTGGACGGTTCTCGCGCAGCTTGGTTCTGACGCACACAAGGATCCGGCTCGCGTTGTCCCACCAGTTGCGACGACAGGGCGTCTTCGCGCGCCGAAAAAATGCGGACGCCGCTCGTTCCGAGTCCAAGGCGCGCCACTGGACGCATGGGTGGTCACTGTTCTCAGCTTGGAGGAATTTGATTCGCAAAATTAGTGGCCACCGCGCCGCCTTGAAGTTGGTATTTCAACGAGGCAGATGGTCGCGCGGATTCCGAGTCCATGAAATCGACACCGGTGTAGGTAATTGCCTTAAAAAGTGTCATTCTTCTATGACAGATACGAGGCCAAACAAGTGATGCACGACGAATCCTAGATCAGAACTACACTACACGGTGCATCGAAATGTGAAACTGTGTGTTGTCATCTTCGTTGAGGTGGATTGACCCCAGTGCCCTCGCAATCTCGATGAGCAAGATGCAAGGACGTCTTGTCGATGTACTCTTTTAAGAGAATGACGCCGTGGACGACCTTGAAGTTGGTACTATACATTCTTTCTGCTAATGACGTGGCGCGGCGAGAGAGCGCAACGATAGGCAACGACGTGGACCAGGCCCAAGAGCGATGCTGGATCACTGGAGAAGCCTATAAGGTCTCTGCGGAACACCAGCGGACTCTAGTACAACTCTAAATCTTCCCGTTTCGCACGACTGTGAGTCCATCGTCGTCAGGCAGTATACGAGACATCAGCGAGTGCAGCAGTTGATGGTATTCTCGGCCACTCGCAATCTCGCAGCCCAATTAGAGCAGTATCTTTGATGGGCTTCGAGAATAGTCTGTTACTTGCACCCTCCAGTCCGTCGGCGAGAGGCTGTAGCTGATGTCGACGGCGATGGTTGTAGCTCGACGTGTCCAGGGACGATGGCTCTCCGATGTTTGCACGATCGGAACAGACCCGAGCGAGACGCTTACCAAGCAGGATAGATGAAGCAGTATCCAGGGCCGGGTACATCTCGGCGTATTCGCTCCCCAGTATATGTATAGTTGTCATGTTATTTC